TGCTTCCTTGATCGCAGTAGACCTGCTGGGCTTGGGTTGGTAGAGTGGTTTAGAGTCGCCACAGCACAGAGCCGTTGGTGTGTGTTTTGTAACTCTGGTATATATATACCGATCGACTCAACATCCTGATCATCAGATCTGACAGCCGTATGTAGATCAGTTCAATATTCCTTGATGTTGGCCTATTGGATGGATTTCTCCAGAGCCGATGGGAAGACGTTAGATCGATCAGTGGCTGTATTTCTCACCTTGTGACCGATTTGAGGCCTTTCTTCGGGTGGAGTCTTCATCAGTGCGATGATAAGAGACATGTGTTTCGTTTGATAAGCTTCGACCCAGTGATCCGTACTTGCGGACGGTTTCAGCCACTCAGGGAATATTGCCTTTCCCTCAAAGGACGTGAGGAGCTTTGGCTTTGTCCTGATACTCATGGAACTGAACAGAGATGTAGATGTAGTCCAAGCTGTTTCAAGAGCTGTTAGGTTCTCGACCAGTCTCTCATGTAAACATCCTAACAGCGTCTGTTCGTAATCTTTACAAACCCATAGGAAGAGTTAGTCGAGTTCGCTTGCTCGGTTGTTTACCATCCGTTGGCTTTGGCTTTGTGGATACTGAGTGTCCGAATAAGTGTTCAATAAAGCGAGTGCTTTCCGTTTCGAACAAGAATGCCGGTCTGCGCTCTGTAAAGGATGTAATCGGGTGAGATTGGGTCTTGGTGCAAGGTATAACAGACGTAGCATCTCCATTTTGTAGTAATCGGCGAGCAGAAGAATTTCGTCGAATCACCACAGGAATAGTAGTTTGGACTTCTTGTAGTAACGCTCTATCTGGAAGCTTAGAGAAGCGTGGAAGAGCGCCGTGGTAGCGATCCATACCAGCCACCTTGACTCCTCAAGGCACCTGCATGGGACATGTCAACGGGTGGTCGATGGCGAATGATATCTTTGACAGCAAGGCGATTTAGCGGTGGTAGCATGTGTCTGTGATAGTCGGCCCAGTCGTCTGTGATCTTATTCGCTATTTGGCGGGAGAGTTGTGTGTGGCATTGTGTTTCATCTCGACGACGCTTCTTCGAGCGCGCAGTGAGGTACTGTGAAAATCCCGTAGCTGGACGCTGAAATGATGGTTAACACTATTGACAGAGCAAGACTGCTATTGCGGGCAGCCGGTGGGTATCAACCAGCAAACCTGGTAGATGGCAGGTACATTTGGTGTGGCACCTTGTATAAGGTGCCTGATCTGGCAGGCTATATTCGAAACAGAAATATGAATTAAGTAGTTGCTAGGGTTATATCATCGGGTTGACGTGTTTGCAGGGTTGGAATATCCGTAAACGCAACGACAATTTCGCTTGTGATTGCAGTGGAATATATAATGAGCCAACTTCGCGAGCGGGTACAGATCATCTTGGAGGTGAGTGTTGGAGATGAGGATTTCGGCCTCACGCTTGGGGCCACATCACACAGTGGCTGTATATATGCCCCGGAAACACAATACATGTATGTGTGATTTTTCGCTTTTGTGTCTTCAGCGAACATATCATCTTTTGCATTGTAGTATTCGTCGATCACCGCCCGTGAACATTTTCGTCTCCCAAATTGATGAGATATATACTCTTCTGCTGATACGGGAGTATGTTCTAGTGGAGACAATGTTTTATGCTGGGGAGACAAAACCAACAGCACCATATTTCATGTGGTTTGCTTCTCGACTGGAATATTCCATATTTGAGAAATCGCGGCGTTTCGAGTCATCCGAAAACCGAATCCGAAGCATAAGTAAGACTCAGTCATGGGAACAGGGTTTGCTCGTTGCCATCATCTGAAGATCGAGCTTCAAGCATAGGGACAGACCCAGGTCATGGGGACCAATGCCGCCCATTGCCAATATGCTGGAAGGGTGACTTGCGTTTGCCAGAATTCAGCGCGAGGGGAATAAAATGCATCAGCAAAGCCCGAATTCAACTGCCACCGAATCAGGATTGAAGAGGTCTTGCGCAAAGGAAACATGATCTTTTGATCGATCTTGATACAATGACTCATGTCCCAAGTGAGTAGTCTCTGGTAGCGGAACGGAAAATGGACCCAACCAGAGGACAGCGGATTGAGCCGTGTAAGTATTACCACAACATCAGGCTTTCGAGATTGATGATGTAACATTCGTAAGCCTCGTACTGGGCCGTACCTAGGCAAATATCCAAGGATGAGGAACTTGATGTTTATGATGGAGAGTCAGGAGAGTAAGAGCCCGACATGACGACCTGTATCCGAGTTGTTTCTGGATACGCGAGGTTTGTATCGAGGAGCTGAATTATGATGCTTCTCTGTGTATTTAGACAGAGGAAAGGCTGGTCATACTTAACGACCGAATGAATGGCCCTGTTGGTGTCACTCGAACAGGGAGACCATCCTCGAAACATCCATTCTGGCGCAGAAGTCGCCAGAAGCTTGTCTTCAGTATAGCAGGAATAAGTGCTGCGCACTTCATCACAGTGCCTGGAAGGAATTTCCTGTTTTAGTCTGCGTAGCGTGTAACCTCGTTGCTTCCCTCGGAGTTGTCCACACCGCGTGAGCCTGTCGCTCATATGTCATGAACAGGTGACATGGCACCATGATGATGCTGTCGAAATTGGAGGAACCTGAAGACCTTGTTGCATCCAGGGTAATTTTGCCTGCTATGAGATGCCAAGTCCTCCATTGGTTTGAGAGAGGCATGACGAACATGGGCTATAAACCGAACGAGAAAAGGATACCGGCAGAGAATGCAGCAAACTGCATGAAGACTGGCATATGGCGACGAGCAAGTAAATGTCTTAATCATTGCCCTCAAGATAACCTGGTAACAAGACATATTTTTCGCTGACTAGATTCCCCGAAGAGCAGAGAGGATGAACTGGAAAGGGCCAATTTTTGGGATCAGAGGAGTCCCCCACCCACATGCAAAAGAATGTGATCTTGTTGAATGAATGTGTGGAAGACAAGCTCCAGGTGTCTGTCGTGATGGCGAGTGGTGAAGCGTTGCGGTCACGAACTTCCTCCCTGCCTTTGTTAATCTTCTTCTGATAAATGCACCAATGTTGGATATATATAAACTGCAGCCGATAGGCGCCTTCCCCACCCCCGATCCTTCGCTTGGGGGTCGGGGGAATGCTTGGGCTGATGGGTATAGAACAGAACGGCTAATGGAAAGGAAAATCGAGCCTTATATAGGCCTGACTGTTGCCTAATCGGGTAATCAGGAACTTGCATCTTCATGGGAGGCGATGTCCTCCGTCGGGAGATGCCGTAGGTAACTCTCTTTTGAGAGACTTTGGTCTCCGATTTTACAGCCTCGGGATTGGTATTTGCCTATAATGATATGATAATTGACGCATAAAGAAGGAATCTGCATTTACTTACAAGAGCATTTCCCGCTGTGGCTTAGGCATTTGACACTAGAATGAATACTCGGGCATATCATAGGAGCTTAAAGTAGGCTACTGTCATTTACCTCGTGGATGGTTACTATGGTTCGATTTTCATCTCCGACATGCTCCGTCCTCGGATCCAGATATGCTAGGATGAAGCGAACCTGAATGGATGGGAGGCTGTGACCATCGATGCAAAGATACAACTGATTACTGTCAGAGAAGGATCTGCCGTTTGCTGAGGTTCTAATTTAGACAACTGCAATAGTTGTGGGTATAATAAATAAGGGAACACACATTAGTGTAGTGTCTTCACGCAGATGAAAGATTTACATTGCTCTACCATGGTACGAGGGGTGGAATTATGAAGGCAAAGGTTGAGTATTAGATTGTATCAAGGCAGTCAATGAAGTGAATGATGGAAACCGATAGAGTAGAAGATATCCAATGGTACTGAGAAAGATATCTCGATGCGTTGTTGGCTTCAAGGCCTTGTGCATAAGGATATGGCTCCAGTAGACTATAATACAGAATTGTAGTCTACTTGCATAATCGATAAACAAAACAGACAAGAGGGGTCCCTTTGTAGATCTTGTATAAGGAGAGAAGAAGAAGAAGAAGACACGGCAATAGACAGGAAAATGGCAACAGAAGTACGGAGTAAAGAGACGAGAGAAAGGAATATTGAACTAGGAACTGGGAAGAACGCCACAGGAATATATCAACGGAAATAGCAACTGATTGATAGGGCAAAGCGGCATAGAAGGAAAGTAAAGGACACATGTAGAAAAAGCCGCTGGTCCAGTCATAGCTTCAAGATTCTGTGGAAAGAGCCATAGGTATTCACTAGGACTGTGTTGGGTAGAGCTGACTTTGGACAGTGGCTTCGTAGACACGAATCGCCTGAATGTGGGAGTACCAGTACTAGTGGCCAGATCAACGATCGGCCAACCATATGCCCCCATCTGACGGATAGAAGATCGGATCGTACTATTACTATCTAGATATTGGACAGAAACCTGTTCTCAAAGGTACCTACTGGGCGTAGCCATCCTGCAGGTATGTCAACACTTGGAAAAACCACAGACATATCCCGCCTGCAGGGCTGTTATTACTTGTTACAGAGCCGCGAAGTATCTAAAACTAAAGATGTATAAAAAATCTCATATCCAATCTTCCCTAAAGGACAGGCTACTGTATCTCAGAGTGTCATAATGTTGTGTTGGTTACATACCATCTTGAGTGGGTCATGATGCTTTTATGCTGGTAAAATAGACGAATAACCAACGCTGACGGTACTAAACAACAGAACAAGGTCTTACAGCATTCATAATGTGTCGATATTGGCTCTCGTGATTAAGGTGGAGTCGATATTTTCGATCGAGTTGCTCTACTTCTCCACTTCTTCACATTTCCGATGGAGCATGGCGTTCCGTGGAACCTCGATCAAGCTTCCATATACTCTTTCTGGCTTCTTAACAGCTGCTCGGATAGGATGGCTTTGCTTATGCTCAGTGGGTAACCCATTTTCCTATTTAGAGTGCTTTCGGGGTGCTGAATTACTCAAGATAATTCTTTTCACAAATCTCTCTTTGGAAGACTAGGAACAATTGGCATTAATGGTATAAAGTAAAGAAATTAGAACGAGTGATTAAGGGTATACGACAAGGAAATTCGAATGAATGTGATCAGTCAACATGGGTGTCGGCCATCTGACATCACCGGATCTTCTTGGTGTTGTTCTTCATCTCCACCGCCCACCGCTCCTTCATATCCATCATCCAATCTTTCACCCCCCGACTACTACTGCCCACCCGGATTACTCCATCTTTGACCCCCTTCCAGCCCGATACCGGTTGCTGGATCAAAGTGTGCTTCCCCCAACATACCTTCGACCAGAGTCCCTTGGCCTGAGAGTGACGATGTGCGTCCCGAGTATTGTAGCACTCGCTGCAGTAGTCGGTGGAGGGGCAATCGAGACACAGATACCATGGGGGAGAGTCCAGTTCCCACTGCGTCAGCTTCTCTTTGCGACAGGGTCCCATGCATTGCAACATGCTGCCGTTGCCTTCGTCGACATCGATACTCTGAATGGATCCGTTGCAGGGAGTCGTCGCTGCCGTTGTTGGAGCTTCGTCGTTGGTGCGGTCCGTTGAGAAATTGCTCGTGGGCGATTGCGGGCTTGACGGGTCTCCGGGATGCCCATCGTTCACGGGATCTACCTTCAACGCCATCCAGCCATCGACAGACACGGGCCTTCGCATATCTCCACCCAAAATGGCAGATGACAGTGTGTTCTGGTACTCCTCCTCGCTCACTTGCAGAGCATTGGCATTGGCACGATCAAAGATAAGCGACGCAGCAATCCCGGCATCCTTGGTAAGGCCGGCAAAATGCAACACCTTGGTCAAGGCGCGGAAAGCAGCCATATCATTGTCATCAACCCAGTCCTCCAAATCAGCAATGCAAAGCTTGAAGGCCTGGTCGGCATGTTCGTAGGCTCTGTACTTGAACCCGATTCCTCTCCACATCTTTGCCAGAGTGATGAGAACGCTGGCCTTGGTGGAGGATTCAATGACATCGGCGACCCGAACATCAGCAATCAAAGCATTGGCGGCCTGACACAGTGGCTCTTTCGCAGTTTTGTTCCGAGCCTTGCTGTATCGGTCGTAATAAATGTCAAAGCGCTCCATGATGATGATACTGAGCAGCTTGGAGTCAACCTGCAGCGCGTCGTCCTTAAGCATCACATCCAGTATTCTGTTCAAAATATCCTCGGCCATCCTGATCGCATGGCAGTCTTGTCGGTAGATGGTAGCAAGCTCAGAGAGCATGACACAGGTCTCATGGAACAGTCCTCTGGACGCCCAGTAGCAGATTGCACGGTCGTAAATCTGAATGACAAGCTCCACGTTGCCAGTAGCCACCGCTGCTCTGCGTAGCCGGTCATCCTTATTTGTCTGGCGAGAGCGGTTCATCAGCCAAGCGGGGATGAAGTACGGCGGCTGATTTTCCAGTTGGTCTTGTATGGTTTGGATAATGGACGAATGAGCTTCTTGGTCCGCGTAGATCTGCACGAGGACGGTCAAAAAGTACCCTAGCGCTCGGCTGTTCCGGAGGAACTTGTTGCTCAGCGCGTCTTGGCACGTCTTGCGGGCGAGCTTCGTATCACATAAGGCCATGCAGGCCTTGGCGTGAAGCATGTAAACGCTCTTACATCGCTCGGCATTGAAATTGGGCCGCAGGGCGGCATCCGAGTCCTTCCAGCATTTGAGCGCCTCTTCAGCATATTCCTTGACTTTCATCCAGTTCGTTGTAGGGGCATCGAAGCTCCCGTGCCTAGGGACATAATGCTCCGCAAGACCCAGCAATGAATACAGTTTCTCTGCGCACATGGAGTCATCCAAATGTCGATTCTTGTCGTACAGAAACAGCGCATAATCGCGGTCTTGTTTATTGGACGACTCGTACAGAAGGAGTGCGGCCGCCAGTCGCGCTTGGGCAAACCGGGTTCGGGAGTCTCGGCACTGGCCCAGCATATCTTCAGCGACCCTCGTGTTGATCGCATCATCGTCTCGCGACCAGTGTTTGTATTTACCGGTCTATAACAGTTAGCACGGGTTAAGGGATCGCCGGCACTCATACATACAGTGTAGCATGCACGGTAGGCAAGTTTGTATGGAATCTTAGCTTCCTCGGCCGTTGACTTCTGAGCCCAGCTTTGAAGATGGCCTTTGGCCAAATCTTCCAGCATGCCTTCGGGGTTCCTCTTCATGTTATCTGCCCAGCTATAGATGTGTGCTGGCAAGGATAGGTTTTCGCTTTGGTCTCTTCCAATTAGCTCCTCTGCCCAGGACCTTACGAGTTCCTTGGTGCTGGTCGTGAACTCTCTGCAGCACCCACGCTCTGCGCCCGTATGTCCGAGTGAAAGGTCATACAGGTCAAAATGGATGTCGCTGGCAGCTGTCTGAGACAGGACCTTTTCGAATACGGACGAGACGCCTGTTCCATTTGTCAGGATCCGCCATAGAGCTTCTCCGACCCGCTTGAGCTGCTCGTTGTCGATCCTGCGGGGTTGTCTAGGCTTCGGCTCCTTGGAATATGACATCTTGTCTCTGAGGCTCCTCTCGTTCATTTCCGTGTCAGTTGGCCTCTTTTCTTGTGTTACAAAATCGATATCCTTCAGATGCCGGAGGAGGTTGAAAGTCGCATATTCGTGCAAAGATTCAGCAGAATCTACCCCAGGGCCACAAAGAATGTCGCAGAGGGTCACAAAGATATCTACCTTGTTGGCATTCACGTCCAAATTTATTCTGGAACTGCCTTCTTTGATGCACTCCTTAAACTTCGCTTGACGGAACTCGACGTACTCATATTCACTGGCGGGCGGCTGTTTGCGAGACTTGTCTCTAGGGTTCTCCGTCTCGTGATCCGGGCGGGAACACCAATATATCTCAGCATTCACGCTTGGGGGCCCCAGGTTGGGCGGAAGCATGGGTCGAATATAGAGAAGACTGAAACATCAGCCGTCAAATAAACACCCATAAAAGTCAGCCAATACTCACTTGCGACACCGATATAGGACATCGTCAAGCCTGACGGCCTTTACTTGAAGATCATTGTCGAGACGAAGAAGGTCGCCGAGATTGGAGACGGTGAGCGTCTGCTTCGCAAATGCACACCACAAAAGCACCTTCTTCACGGCCTTGCTTAATGCCTTGTCGGAATCCCGCAGGGCATGCTGGATCAACCTCTCATCACCATTACCCACCTCCGTTATAAAATCGAGAAAGGACTTTTTGTTTGTGCCGTTCTGATCGAGAATCTCAATGGTCTGATCTAAAATGGATGGATTACCTGAAAGCAGGAGAGACCATCAGCGACAATGGTCAGGTCCGAACACTATCAAACTTACCGTTCGATGTCTGTACGAGGTATTCGTGGATTAGCCGATAACCTTCCGAGTTTGGTCGGATTCGTGAAAGGTTTGGGAAGTTTTTCATGCGCTCCTTGATGATATTGTCTATAAGCCGTTGATCATTCGGTATGTTTATTTCCGGGAGGGGCAGAGATTCCACCATCTCAGCAGGGAATAACTCTCGCTGTTCGCGGGAGCCTGTCAACAGAATCCACACTCGATGGTTACCCCCTTCGAGAGTGTCATACAAGAGTTTCAGCAGTGGCTCACGCTCCTTGGGCTGCATATCCGAAATGCCGTCCAGAAGGATGTAGAGCTCCTCAGACGAGTGGGATCGCTTCTCGAACCGTTTCAGCACGAGTTCATTCCAGACCTTCTTCGGGTCGTGTGACTTTAGGACGGGCTTCGTCGAAATGGAGTCACACCACTTCGGGTCTTGGGCCGCAATCTGGAAAAGAATAGAAGCCACCACCCCAGCAAAGCTCTGAGAATACTGCATGCCCGGCTCGAAGAGGAAGTACGTGACGATCAGTTGTTGCCGCACCGTTTCTTTCTGGACAAGGGTCTGATCCCTCCCGGCCATCATAGGTATCAGCTTGTAGCAATGTGCTGTAAGAAACGTTTTGCCCATGCCGTCATTGCCCCTGAGATACAATAAAGGACACGTGCCATGTCGGTACAGCCAGTTCTGATAGGTGTCGTTCTCTCGGAACCACCGCAAACTCCCTTCAATCAGCTGCGGCATGATGGTGTCCATTCTGGTGGCCATCTGAGACATAACGGTGAGGTTGAGGTGGAGTTTGCCTTGAAGAGTTTTGGCCAGTTTATCCAACACATTTCCTTTTTCAGACATGTTGTACATGTTCCCCAACAAAACAGTCTGTTGCATCTTGGTGTTGGTATTTTTGATCAGCCAGTGAATGCCTTCTTTGATCTCTTTGGTATCGTTAAACGACTCGGTCCGAATAGCATCGTGGAACTTTTTGATCGCCTGCTCGACCCTATCGCATTGCTTCGAGGTCACATCGACCTGTTGCCGGAGCACCTTCTTCCGCCAAAGCACTGCAGTAAACCATCAGCCATAGTAATTTGAGAGATGATAAACTTATGCTGATGCATGAGCATACCCAAGCGCGTTTGCTTTCGCAAGTCGGTCCCTACGTAGGAGCAGAAATAGAGCAAGGCGATGAAGACCTTCACCAAGCTTTCCTTGGCCGTCGGGGTGACCACAGGATGTTTCTCCATGACGTTGATTTCTTGCATCGCCGACGCGATCGTCTGAAAGGTGCTCTGGACGGTATTGAGGTCCGCGCTGACATCCTGGGCAGCCTTCGGGGCGTCAGCAGCATCCCAGAAGACAGCGAGAGTTAGGTACCTGGAGGAGATACGATATGCCTCCAGCTAGAAGCTTGACTGGTTCGGCAAACTGTGGATGTCAGACGCATGGAGTGGTTCGTCGGTAATGCCACTACCCACCGTGCCGCTTGCATGGTCATGTGCATACGTGCAGGTTGTCTGCGCCCAACTGAGACACTGCTGCACATTTTCACGTATCTTCTGCTCCCAATCTTGTCCTTCCGGTGTTCGAGCCTGAGGATGTCTCCATTCGCGGAAAATGAGCTCAGTCTGGGCGATCGGGTTGCCTGCGGTATGAAAGTCGGCCAGCAACCTTTGCTCGTTGGGGTCGAATTTGAGATCGGCTCCCGCCTCGGCGAAAGCTTTTTCCCAGAGCTCTTCGATGGTCTCCTCTCCAAACCCAAATCCATCGTCGCCGCCATTCTTGAGATTCAAGAGTGCTTTGACGTCCTTCATGATGGGCGCATTGAGAGTGGCAAAGTCGAAGATCCAGGGGAAGATAGCCAGCGCTGTCGAGGCGGGGGCCAGCCGAGCTGAAGTACATGTGTAGGGGGTGCGACCGACGCGGCTGAGCTGAACTTCAGCTATGTGCTCCTCGCTCCATCATTGCTGGATCGGAATTGACCTGCATCGTTAGAGGCGGACTAGACGAACTATGGAGCCCGAGGTTGCGCTCATTGGGCCAGACAGCAGCCGATCGACCCAAGGACAGTGAGCGAGATCCACTGGCGTGGGGATGCGGAAGATTAACCCGGCCCAGCTGACAGATTCTTCAGCTCGGGTACTGTTCCCGCCCTCGAGGGATGGCGGTCGGATCTCTGGGAAATTTTTTATCGTAGCTAATTGTCAAGGGGTGTGCTTGGTGCTGAGGGGGCGGTATTTGGCGCGACTGACTAGCAAGTGTGGTGTTAGAATTGGCATGTGGGATGGATGGCTGGTGCGCGCCCGCGGCATGTGGACCATCCACGACCCACCATTCTTATTGTCCGAGTTTTCTTCCTGCTCCAACCACGCCGGTGCGGCAGAGGATGCAGGTGTCATGGCATGCATCATGCTCGAATATCATTTCGGGGAATGGGGCTGCAGATGAGCAACAGTAGATTGTTGATGGCTTCGTTGTGCTGGAGTAAAATCGAGGAGAGCAAAGAAGGTGACGGGGGACGACAGGAGAGGAGTGTTGGTCCCAAGGGAAAGGGAGAAGTGGGGGCCCGTGACCCGCGCTTGACTCGCCCAGGGATGAATGGCTCCCTGGGATCCACCCCTACAAGGGAGACAAAGGTATAAGTTACAATCAAGACAGTCAATAGATTCCGATGACTAGAGACAAACAAATAAACATAAGAAAACACAATAAGCTTAGACTAAAAATATTTATACTACCTATCACCTATCAAATGAATGAATGATCGTCAATGTTCTGACCTCGCTAGGTTCCAAATATCTAGTCACTCCAGTTGCCCTGATAAAGCCCACAGAAGGGGCAAAGTTTCAGCGGTTTTCCGATACAGCTCTGAAAAAGCCATACGGCAGCGCAGTGAGGACAGCAATACCGGGTGACCTTGGAACTTGGGGGATTGTTTTGAGTCAGGCTCTCAACAAGATCAGCCGAGAAGCCAATCGCCTCATTGATTACCTGCCGAAAATCATCCTTGACCCACAAATCACGGAGATGCTTGAGAGATATCTCCACGAGGGGCCCTCGAAGGCCCCGATCGGCCGGGGTTGTGCATTCGTATGCCTCAGCAATAGCGGTAGAAAAGTCGTCCATTTGCCAACATCTCTTTGCCACGGTTTCAAACGTCTCTTGTGCTCGACGTTTCAACTGGGGAACCGTGTACTTATCCGCAACTTGATACAACCGGATATTGAAGAGGAGGGGCGAATTGCAGCCGCGGTCGTGACTGCTGTTGTCGTAGTAGTCGAGCCCGTACATGAATCGAATCATCGCCTCGATAGCTTGTGGGTCATCCTCCTCGAGGCGTACAACGTTTTCGATCGTTTCCTGGGAACTTTAGAGATGGCCTGGCACGGCACAACTTGGGATGCTTACTATCCAGCTCCGTTTGTATAGGCGGGAGAAGAATTCTGACTGTCCGCAGACAACCAGTCGATGGACTTTGATCTCTCGATCGACCGTACAAATGGTTAGATCGGAGAATTCGCCAGACAAGAAGTAGCTGCGATCCTTAGTTACTCCATTTGCAGCTTGGAGTATCAGTCCACTAACCTCTTCATACTACTGAGCAGGTCACCCGTCCTTTGATCATCATTCGTATCCGAGTTGCTCATCAAATTAAATTTCTGGTCACTGCTGCCTGCCATTTTGGTGTTCTGGACTTTTGCTACAGCAAGTTATAACCGCAGCAGACACGCGACAAGCAAACGAAAAATAGAAGAGCTTTGGTGAAGATGGGAAAAAGACATGGGGTGCCACAGCTTAATATGATATCTTCAGTTATGTCACATCACTCGTTCTGAGCTCATCATGCGTCAGTGGCCGGATACGTTTGGGCATGCTCATCATGACATTCTAGATACCATCCTGGTCAGGCGGTTTGTGTACTATGCCTGGAGAGCTTGTCTTTGAGAAGATCAAGCCCAAGATTGCACAAGGCCAATAAATACACGGCGATGCAAAGAGGAGGTGTATATGATGTGGACGGTCTCGGTACGTCTTGGGAGACGTATTAGTTCTAGAATATGCTATCCGGCTTAATTCGGGAAGCTACTAATCCAAAAGACAAAGATAAAACAGATGTGCTATATTTATCCATCAGCAAATAGATGCAAGCCGCCTGTCGTGGATCGACGGGCCGCTCAGGCACCAGGGACGGCCGGTGGTGAAGACAACGAAAGCGCCATGCCTGCCGCGTTTCCGATGACTCGTTCCTCCCAACGCCACTCCCAAGATGTCACTATGCGTGACAACATATCACACGTTGCTGCACTGAAAGGGCACGTGCTCGGAAAGCGAAATTCTCCCTGACCGGTAGGCTCGCAGGCGCTTTGGGGGGTCCCTTCTGCGAAGGGTCAGAAAATAGAACGACGGGGTCCGAGTATCAAGGCCATCCCTAGGTCAGATGCGCATCCCCATAAGCTTCCCGCTCAGAGCCCCGGGGGCCTACCGACCACATTGTGCTGGCGGTGGGGCGCACTCGGATATCTCGGTGCCTTAAGGCTCACCTTGTCTGATGATCGGTCGGAAACAATCGCACTGGCTCGCTAGCTATCGTGCCAGTATATTGTCTCAAACAATACTTCGAGACACAATCTATGCACAGCAGAGGCTCGTCCGGGAAGCCGTATGAAACGCATTCTTCGTCTATTCCATTTACTTTTCTCTCTTTCTATCCACATCCAGTCTGCCAGCATTTCTTTTCAAGGGAACCAATCAACATGTCTTCCTGGATTGTCAAGCTCGGCACCCTTGTGGCCTTGGCGCAGACCATCTCGGGTGGACTGATAATAGTGAGTGCTCTAGCCAGTTTGCTCGCCATTTAATATATGGAACCCGGCTAACAGGAGCCTTGTAAGATCTACAGGACATTTGATATAGAAAGGTCCCCCACTATAACTGCCTGCAGAACATTCAAACACTGTCAAGCATATGACGCACACCGTCAACCGCCATCATAACTTCTGGAGGCCGTATTAGTAAACCGATGTAACCTAGATCTTGCACATCCGGCACTGATAAATATGCCTCCCTCTATGACTCTGCATTGTATATAGACTTATTCCATCAAGTCGTAAGAAGTCATAAATGAATGTCTTCCATCTCTCTAATCCAAACACCCCAGCTTCTCGATAGCCACATAACCCACCCTCAACCTCCCAATCCACAACCGACTCTCAGACCTCAGCACCCGCTCAACCTCCCCCCGTCTTTGATTAATCAACCCCCGACAAAGCAGCTGGTATTAGGCCTTTGACTACTACTCGGCGCGGAAAGCTCGGCACTCTGGATTCTTTGGGAGCGGTGAGTACATACTTTCTTTAATTAGTGCTTACCCCCATGATATCATGTCCGCGGATATCATGGACTCTAGTATCTTGTAGTTACAGTGGTAATTCAAGCGGGTAAGTGCATGGGATCCAGAGTTTACCCGCAAGAAACTAGACGATGTCATGGACCGGAAGGTGGATGTAGTGCCTTTGTTCTGGAGCATGCTTAACGCTAAGTAGAAAAGATACAAGAAACAGGTGGAAAGTACCCCTCGGCGCTTTTAGAGTTGAGCCATAAGAGAAACACCATATATGTATGAAGCTAAATACATCCCTAAATCCAATTCCCATCAACCCAACATCCAACCATAACCCAGGAATCTACCCGTAGCACAATCATCTAAAGAGTGGTCTATTTCCAAGTACAAACCCGCCAAGACCCGCTGCGAGTATCCAGCCTTGTTTCAATGATCCATAGAACTATTTAAGCACCCGAAGCCGCCGAGTTCTACCACTCAGTCGCTTACAACAGCGAAGAGGAGCATCCAGCCATGCCCATGGCGATACCAAAGTTAGAGAAATGTCCGGCGGTGACACCGAGCTGGCCGTTGCCTGCAGAGCAAGAGGTGTCGCGCTCACCGCTGCATTTGACCGTAGTGGCCTGAGTGCCGGAGCTGTAGTATTCCTGTTGGAATTAGAGAGATTCTTTTCATTAGGTTCTGGGGAAACTCACAGTGCCGTAGTGGACAAAGTCCCAGGGCCACATGATGTACATGTTCTAGACGCAGGAGTGAGTATAGGACGGGTACGGAAGGGGGACTGGGTAGGGGTAAGAGGCATACCGGAACTCCGTCATCCGCATTGTTACCACGGTTCAAGGTTCCATTCTGGGAGGCACCAAAGTTGGCAAATGCCTCGTTACCGATGGGGAAGGCAGCCAGAGCGTTGCTGATAAGCTGCTTCCCTGGGAAGTTCTGCGCCAGCGCGATGTAGGAGATATAAGTGAGGGAGCCACCAAGGGAGTGTCCGGTGGACTCAAGACTGTAGTCGGGGTACTGCTCGACCAGCGATTTGACCTCCGAGATGACGTCGTCGTGCACCGACGACCAAGGAGAGTAGATGCCATGCATCATTTTGGCGCCGGAGGGGAAGTTGACGCCAGACAGGGTGGGCTCAACGAGGGTGGTGTCGACATCGTTTTGGATATCGGTCACTGGGATCGTTAGTTGTCTCGTTGAGAGTTGATAATGTGTTTGTTAGGTTGGGGTACTCACTCGTGGTCGAGCCTCTCATAGCTACGGTGATCCGCTTCTTCTCGGTGGAGTATCCGATAAAGCCCTGGACCTGTTAGTACAGGCTATGCAGTTGAAGGTCGCGGAAGGTACCTGGGTGTCGGTGACGAGGTCGTTGATCTGCTTGGTGACGGTCACATCGAAAGCACTACCAGTACAACCCGTGTAAGCTGCAGAGGCCAGCTGCGCAGCTCTATGAAGTTCGGTCCATTCGGCCGTATCTGCCCGCCGTTAGTGTAGGTCCTAGGGGACGAGGAAGAACCAACCAGAGGTAGCCCGGGATTGGAGCATTGGCACTGCCAAAGCCAGCGGAGTCAGGGCGAGACCGCCAAGGAGAGACGACTGTGCGACACGCATTGCGGGGAAAAGAATGACTAGAAGGGATTGACAAGGAAAACGATCGGGTTGGAATGTCAAGGAATGTCTATCAGGAAGGCGATGAAACTCTTCTGTTCGGTGCCCTTTTATAAGATCACGCCTCAGCATGTTTCGCGGACGGTAAAATTCTCATCCTCTGAAACAGCAGTGATACATGGTTCGACTCGGTATATTGGCCAGGGAAAGCCGCAATCACCGGAGTGGATGGCATCCCTGGATGGAGTTTGATTAGGGATTAAACTTTGAGGTCATGTGCAGCAGTCACCTTGCGCCGCGGTCTAGGAAAAATGGCGGGATTTTCAAAGACGGAGCCGATCCAAGGCTATCTCGGTGCTCATTAGGGCTTCCTCGGTCGTCGCCGTTGTTTCATCGGCGGCCGTGTGGGGACCCGTTCGGACGACCCAATTTTGAGCCCCGAGTGTTCAGTGGTCGGACCACAGCTGCCTAGTGACAAGTAAACAGATCGACGGGAGTATTATTAGAATGGTTCGACTTGTCTTCCCCGTTCCTCTGGGAAAACCTCGGGAGGCTGTTTGAGGCCTCAACCCTGATCCGCGCCCCACCCGGCCGTTTTCGATAGATTTCCATCCCCTTTTACACGGCTAGAAACAAAGCTTGGCTGTCGCAGATTAATTGCGATCGGATACCCAATCCTGTTTGTCGCAGGATGATGCTAGTGATCTCATACCCGTTGTTGACTGACCAGCAGACAGGCTTGACTGGACATCGTGCCTGGACATGAACCCACTTTGTCCATCCTCGCGATAAGGGTCACTCCCGACCATTTCAGCCCCATTTTTGATGAGGATAGAGTCACGAGACAGTAGAGGGGTGTTATAGCTGTAGTGATGACAAAAATGCCACACCTAGTCCAATTATCCTCTCAGTGCATCACATAGCGACTGTGGGCATGAGCCGACATCACTATAGAAATCAGGATTGAAGACCCGAAAATGGGAACACCAATGGCCCCACAGGGTAGCCAAGGGCAGATGACTATGGCCTTGTACCTTCTGACTGATCACTGTGTCGGCCGTGGTAGTTAATCTCCTCTATATCTCATATAGGGCATTGGGCCCGATGAGCAATTCCCCGAATTCCGCTGACAGTTCATCGGGATCGTCGAACCGCTGCTTCTACGGCCATTAAGCTTTATGGCAAAGGTCACGAATTTCCTCCAGAAGTGGGCCACTCTCGCCGATCCCTTAAAGAATAAGACATGGCTGCATTCAGCGGCAATATCTTAATCCCTTCCCGGCACGGAGATGATGTGGTCTTTGGAGAGATGGACATATTGATGCCGGAAGGCGATGAGCCCTTCTAACGCGTGATTAATTTCCCGGATAGCTACCATGGATGATTTGCCGATGATTCTTTTGTGTGCTAGGCATCAGCCTTGCGTCAGCCTTTGCGTCGACCAGTTCAAGTGGGAGAAGCGGATTGAATGCATTGCATACTTTGTGGACAGCCCAGGACCATTTCACCGGAGATCAGCAACTTGTGTGCGATGACCACGGATCATCGTGGGCAGACTCTCAGTGACTAACCAAATCACTTCGAGAGGGGTCCCAAAACGTGTCACATCTTGTATCTAATTGGAACTAGGTTTGCACGTGTCAATCATCGAGCCCGGAGTCAGCAAGGGAAGCTGAGCTGGATTTGTGGGAAAGAGAGATGCGAAGAAGAAAGCAGGAATCGTCAGGTGTCAAGGCAGGCCGGGTCATCACTCAGCATCCATCATTCATTGCGGTACTAAAATGCTATCTTCAAACTAAACCCTTCCCTTGGTCATGGAACAGACTGGGAGCTCTTCTTAATGGTTACTTGAAACCGTACCGGTTTGACGAACCACATATTCCTGGCCCTCATATCCTTGCCCTCCTGTTCCTGTATCTCAATATCATAACTCCGAACAAGTGATGGAATGAGCTTGTTTATTTCGAACAGCGAGATGTTCTTCCCCACACACACCCTGGATCCCAGGCCAAAAGGCATCAAGCATTGCTCCATCAGGCGAAGCTTTTCGGCATCTTTCAACAGCCATCTCTCTGGCACAAAGTCGTCGGCATTCGCGCCCCAAATGCTCTCATCTCGATGCATCACCCAGCTGTTTATGCCTACATTTGTCTGCAACCGTTAGCTCAGTTGTACAAATTGGCCGGTATCACTCACACCCTCTGGAAAGAATTTATCGCAGATTACAGCCCCTCCACGAGGTACCACGCGGAATAGAGGAAACCCAACTCCCGGGTGCAACCGCATGGACTCCTTAATCACAGCTTGCAGATAAGGCAGTTTCTGTGCTTCCGGAAAAGAAATCTCGCTCCCCGGACACGCATCATTCAGCTCCTTTCGAAGTGTTTCGAGTTTCTCAGGCGATCGATACAGGTAGAAAACCACCGCGCTTAAGCCGATTCCCGTGGTGTCACTCCCAGCGCCGATATTGGATGCTGCGCTGACCTGAATATACCGGTCCGTTAAGCCCTTTCCTTCATCTCGCGCTTGGAGAAACCGCTGAACCATCGACAGAGGTTCTCCGACCGCAGGCTCTTGGTTGTCCTTTTTTGACAACTCGGTGAACTTCTGATCTGTGAAGCGACGTACAAACAGGGTATCGGATTTTGCGAAGAAGTTGCCAAGGAATAGGACTACCGGTCGCAGCCATAGCATAAGACCCATCAGGCTACTGATGACAAAGCTCTCTTCCAAATTCGCCATGAGGTTGTTGATATCCTCACCCTGATCAAGGAAGCCAAACCGTTCGCCGTACTATTTCCATCAGCACTGGCCGTGCTCTACCACAGGAGGTAAGTCATCAAAAGAAGACAATCTAAACACATACCGTAATGTCGCTAATAGTGTCAAAAGCAAAACACTGCAGCCAATGTCCCAGATCCATCGTCGAACTGGTGTTCGACAACGAGTCAAGTTGGACGAAGAATCGTCGAATACAGTCATTCACATATGGCTCATAGGACACCATCGCGGACATGGAATACATGGATGCGACCTTGCGACGGGCGTCCGAATGATGGGTCGGGTTCCTTACCGAGAACAGATTGTGGTCGTCTGGACTGGGTGAGAAGTTCCAAGCCTCGTACCACTCCGATTTGGTAAATTGGGAACCGTGAGCATAAATTGCCTTGAGCGCGTCGACGTCATTGAGGCTATACCAGCCGGGAGCGATTCGCACGACTTTGCCTGGGACTATATTAACCGAGTTTTTTCTTCGAGCCTTGTGACAAGAATCCTCACCGAATCTCCGATGCAGCTTGATATTGGTATATTGAAAATCGCCTTTGACCATTTGCCAGATATACCACAGCCGGGTGTATCGTGCCAGCCAAGGGCCTGGAATGTCACGGCCTTGGGATACGGCCCGTCCTACCAGGACCGCTAGGAGTCCTAGGGCTACTGCAGAAAGCGCGGGAATTGTTAACAATGTCATGGTCTAATCCTGCCTTATGGACAAGGCTTCGGTGTCGTGGTCAGAATTGTTTCTTCTGGGAGATCGTCTGTTTTATATCCTAGGGCTCCCTTCGGAGGCGATGACCTAATCGCTTCCGAGATGTCGATCATGCATGCACCTGGCCACAACTAGAAGTAGACCCTAAGTACATTGAGGGCCTAACTGGTTAACTACCTGGCTGGCCAGGTGACTAAGCGGATTGCGGAATGTGCAATGCATCCAGATCCGAGGTTTGCGGTCTGATCACGAGGCCCGAGTATATATGCCCACGGTCAGGGATCGCTACACCGATACGCGTCGTATCTTCCCAAAACATCCTCTTTTCATTTCCCATCTTTTGGATAATTCTAGTCCAGAGCTGAAATTCATTTCTGCATCCCAACATGTCCGACCACCAAGATCCAAATCCCCACTACGCACACCCTGTCCATCCCTATCGTCGACAGCACAGCTATGGACCTCCGCTCCCTTCCTGCCAGCTAAATCCACCAATCATCCATGACGCTAGATACTCCATGAACCCACCCAGTGTCACGCAGAGAAGCAGCACAGACTACTAGTATGCCTAGCCATCCCGCTTTAGAAAAACCAAACTAATGCAGCCAGCACGCAGAGGCCCAATACCTCTGTTCGCCTCCAACGTTCCCAAACCATGCCTCTACCCCAGGAGCCAAGGATCGGCCGTGAAGAAGCCGGTAGGGAGCGCAGCCTAGAAGGAAGCATCTTCGGCGGTGCGAGCGGGTATTGCCTTGGCCATATGAAGGGGCATGAGGTTCTCGGGCCGCTGGGCGGAGACTCACCGGGGAATTATCTGTGGGATCGGATGGACGATCGCAAACGAGAGGAGCATAATGGCTGGGGATATGAGTTTAATGAGCATGACCGCCATTGCCGTCATCATTGTGGGCATGGGTTTCATTGTGATTGTGCGAGGTACTAAGTTGCTGCAACCATATGCCTTGTTGAAGCTGCATTTGTTGATGGATCGAATGGGTAGTTTGTAACATATCGATCCCTTATCGATCTTCTGTCCTCTCCAAGCCATCGAATGATGTCACTAGCCTCAAATCTGCTTCGTGTATCGATACATGGGATTTCTCACGGAGGCCGCTATCGCAGTAACTTGGTCTATAGCTTCACCATTGCACGGCGCATATGGATGAATTCTAGCCTTGACTAAGGACGGACGTGAATTGAATAATTTGTAATTTTTCGTCGAAACCTCTGATTATACGATGCAGCATTCATTGAGAAATATTGGACCCCATTATTCCGATATTCTCTTTGATTAGGTTCGAGATTCATTACATCTCAATCAATTTCGGTTTCCATTCCTCTCCCTCTCATGAATATTGAAGCAGGTCTTTTTTTCCCCCAGCCAGCAACTACTGATAGAGGAACATACCGCATCGAGGCCGTGAAGGACGTTACATATATCCGATAAATTACTTTAGGCACAAGGGAATAGCCCTATTCCCTCAGAATAATAACTAGCATGATTCCCGATGTGCATGGAATTCACAACCAATGTCCTGCACATCAAACATCGAAGGAATGGATTACACCCATTGAATAGCTTATTCACACTACTATATCACTACCACTGACTATCGACCTTCACCCAAGCCAATCATCTATAAAGGTCTTCATCCAACTACTTTCCCTTCCTAACCACCACGATCGTCCTACTTTCATTTGTTACCACCCACCTCACCCTAAACCCACATTAGTTTTATGTCCCCTATTGATCGTCATAGCCCCTGACTCAATGCTTCGCAACAGGAGCCCTACTTTCAGCACAGGATGATGGCAGGGAGAATCGCTTCCGGGATATATTGCAGCAACCTCCTAGGGCTTATAAATCTCCTTATAACATCCATTGTGAAGATTTAAATAATGGCCTCGAAATACAAGTCCCAAGAACTCACAAACGATACAAAAGCATAAATGTCTCGTCCAGACAAGAAGGCAGGGCAACTCTACACCCAAGATACATGTCCATTCAACGAGAGCATCCGGGAAGGATATTGAATGCTGCTCGCCATGTGTGGTTCCATATGAAGTCTAGCACCGAATACCACTGCGATACGAATGAAGGTTCCATCTCCTTCGCTCCGTTCTGATACGCCGTGGTGTCCGAGAAGCGACACCAATAGCTCCTCCATGTGTCTTCACGCTCGGAGAAGATTAGATTCTAGGTCAATTCGAAACGGATCATTAGGAACACTAGACCGCCACTATGTCATCTACATGAATTGACGCTTATGAACTAATATTAACTTTAAATGTGCTCAACATGCTTGGAATAGCCTGCACGCTATTCATCGAAACCTTATGGGTCACTTTGCGATCCCCGGGCATTTTCTGCTCATACACCTGCTTCCAGGGGGTGGAGTTGATGGGGCCCTAATAGAGGCTGGTTCATTAACCAAAACTATCGAGCCCAGCCTGAATGAAAGGCTCTCCAGTTCACCAGTTCGCACTCGCTGACTCACTATACAAAGACTGACCATTGCCAAGGGCGCCTCTGGTGCAGCGGTACAGTCGCTGAGACAGAGACCAGCTTTATGGTTGGAGGATAATGGTGGGCAAACATGGCCTCGTCTATGAAACGACCACCGCGTTTCAACCTCCTCGATCTTGTTAGCCGGCGACTGTCTAAGAGCCACAGAATGGAGACAGACCCTTCTGTCGTCCATAACACTGGGCACACCATTGTTGACAATCATATCGGTTAAACTTCATGCATTCCCAGATCGATTTCTTGGCGAATTCTCGTGCTCGATTGAACTTATCATGGAAAAGCCGAAACAATCGCGGTCGTCTTCGCAAAGGCACCACTATTGACGACCCCATACAACTCAGGGGGTATTCACCCAACATCAATCGAACGCGCCACATGGACATCAAGGCATGGCGGCATCTAGGCCAAGGCAGCAGAGTCGCTCTTGATCGGTCAGCAAGAAATGCCTAATACAGGATGAGTTGCAAAGCCACCCGACATACATCGGGCTGGCAACGTCGATCTACGATAAGGCGGAAGCCATATTGTTCATTGTACCGCAGCAGAATCCCCATTTCTCTGCGCATGTTGCGTGGTATATCGTTCGTACTGCTCTTGGCATTGGTAATTATGGTCTATTTCGGAGATGCACTCCCTGTTTCTGCTGTCGTCCAAGTCCAGGACTCATGGGACATGTCTCACCCAGGAACAGACGACTAGACCTGTCCCATGGGCCTCATCGCCCAGAGCGATGTTTCGCCAGGTGGCATTCATGCCCGTCGCTAGTGTCTATAATCTACCCAGTGAATAGTACGGGATTCAGAATTTTGCGCTGGACAGCCTTGCTGGTTGGAGGGATACTATCCATCTGTGGTTCCGGTCGATATCCAGTACGTTCTCGTGGGACTATATCACCCTTTCCATGCTTATCAGACTACCGACGCCTTTGGCTTATCCTTATGTTCCATGAACCATTGCAACCAGAACCACTATGAAAGAGACCATTGGCTGCTAAATGGCTTCAACGGTCCTCAATGGATGTATACACACGTACAAATGTGATGGAACCAACCACCCTCACATGCATTGCGAAGTGATACATCAACTCCCTGGTGAAGGAATAAAGGACTCAAACCCTGAGACGATCCAATACCAGGGACAAGGGTATAATACCTTCCTAACATGGAATAAGATGGCCGAGAATCGCCCGTCTCCTGTCGTGCCTGAAGTATCGGCTAAATGCGATGCATGAAGCAGGTGGTATCGATCATGCGGCATATGAACAGTGCGTACATCAGGCATCGATGAACCGATTCAAATGGCTACAGTCATTACCGCAACATACCGGGTGGTTGAGAGCTCAGCTCTCAGGGTTGTTGCTCGATAGGCAGTATACTCTATCTCATACAGATACGAGCATGTTCAATGCAGCATCTCCGAGCGATCTCAACAAGAAAAAGAAACTTCATCCAGACTGATACGTGACGAGACACATACTACCAAATCTATCAACATAGTCCATCAGACTCACACCAGTTCCCCACACCGGGTTCCACGTTTTCCCCATACCATTGTTGGTTGATTTTATACTACACCCTTCTTTGCTCATACACCTCTTTGCCCTATCACATCTTTTCCTCCAAATATCCTCTTCACCCCGACGTCCCAGTGAAGATCACCAGATAGCTGGTGTGGATGTTCCTCGCTTTTCCCACTGGTGTCTCGCATGAACCATGCCCAGCATACCTCGACAATGACTACAGCTGGACTTCCCGATCTGGGGATCCATTTCATCCATGCATACACGGGAACCGACCAAGGCGATGTCGAAACTAGGAACTATGCCATGGTCTAACGATTGATTATTCTATGGGGATGTTGGTCGGTTGTACAGACCGTCTCGTTACCTGCAAGGCACTAGAGTCAAGGACCAGAGGCCTTGGAAGTCATCTACCATGTATGTGTGATGGTTATATGAGGATCCTGATCGTTTGGAGAAAGAGTGCATTTGTAGCTGCCAGGAAGCGGGTATTCAACCTGGGGGTTGATGATGTTCTCTTGAGGTATGGTTGTGTCTCTGCTGTGGCTGTTTACGCTAGTGGAGAATGATTACCTATTTCGGAAATGGGAAGACATTATCGGTCCGGATATGCATGACGCGATGAAAGAATGGGAAAGTTTGCACTCCAACTATTGGATTCGCAGATCGTGGTGTTCGTTTGCTACATAAACGAAAGGATATGTTCATTGATTGCAAATGGTGGATGGTTGAACTGCATTAGGGATTTACTTCCACATACCTTGTGGCTTTGTGATCGATGTATGGAAGAGAGGATTGTCTCCTTCTAGATCTATTATCTATTATGTTTCTTGGTTTGTATCAAACTGAGGTATTGCTATATGTGGAAAATGTCGTTATGTATTGATAACTACTAGTGGCAGCTAGATAAGATCCCCGGCACTAGACAGGGGTACCCTGTCACCTCAATCTCATCTCATCTTATCCATCTACTCCATACTCCAATACCAACAATATAATACAATAACCTAATATACAACCCATCCTAAACAAAAGAAAATCTACTATCTAACAATCCTGTCTAAAATCCTTCTGCACCCTTATCCCATGCAACGGCACCTCATCCCCATCTCCCTCCCCTCCATCCCCCCTATCACCTCCCCCACCTAACTCCACCCCCCTACTCCCCCTAATATTCGTCACCGTCAAACCCCGATCATGCTTCGGCCTCAACACCTCATCCAACCGAATCTGCTGTCCCACCATCCCCCCCATTCCCATCCCCTTGCCACCACCACCACCACCACCACCACCACCCACAACATCCCCCTCCTCATCCGGCAAACAATAAAACGACCTCCTCTTCCCCCCAATCATCCCCGCCGTACTATCCACCACACTCGCATCCCCCACCCCCTGACTCGGATGCGTCTTGGACGATAACCCCCCCGACCGACTCCGCAGCAACGCAGGCATGAACCGCTGGATCCCGAGTTTGCGCACACAGAGTTGTAAGGCGGGACGGATGGTGGGGAGGCACGCGGAGACGATGCCGGCGGACATTTCGATGGCGGTCCAGCCGACGGTTGGGGCGAGAGTGTAGCTTGAGTCGAGGGCCGTGTAGCTGAAGAGGACGGTGAAGCGGTATGCGGAGGCGAAGATTACACTGCGTTTATTTATTAGTTCTCATCCCTTGGAAAGGAGAATGGGATGGAAAGGAGAATGGGATGGAAGGGAGGGGTAAGGAGGCATACAAAAACCCCAATCCAAACGCCACCGTCAGGGCCACCTTCTCTGACAACCTCAACTGCAACTTCCACACCTGCGGCAGGGGCAAGAAAAGAATAATCAAATCCGTCGCAATAGTGGACGTTGCATTGGCAATCCACGTCCCGACTTGACTAATACAATGCCCCGGAAGACTCGGATACCAGAGTTTCTGCACAGGCACACAAATGAAAATAAACAGAAACGTGATGCAAATCACCCAGAGAATGACAAAGGTGCCGATAGCGTAGGCCCATTTCTTGAAGTAGGGAAAGTGGAAGATGCGGTAGTACATTAGCAGGATGCTGAGTTTGGTCCAGACTAGGTTGAAGACGTAGAGGATTTCGGCCACCACGAGGTATTTGGCGATGAGGATGATTTGGGTGTCGGAGAGCTGGGTGGCGTGGATGCCCATGCCGGTGTGGATCATGGCGAAGATGAAGCCGACGACGAGGAGATTCCATGCCTGGTTGTTGGGTTGGTGGTTAGTGGTGATGGATGGGGGATGGGGGGAATGGGGGGGGATACCATGGAGAAGATAATCATCCAGTCATCCCACCAGAGTTTCTGTTTCCGTTCTAATCGTGAAAGCACACGCAGACAGACACACACAAAAGCTAGCACCGTCACGGCAGCCGTAGTGGCCGTGGCCCATTGCTGGAGGTTTTGATCCTCAGCCATCCCCAGACAGTTCATGCACAGGCACACACAGGCACACACAGACAGGCACAGGATGGATCCAGACAGGCACAGGAGGGCCCGCAGGCGACGGATCAGTTAATAAATCCCGAGCATTGACATCAAAATCTGCTGCAGTGCAACTAACCTGCTAGCCAGGGCGCAGCCCCACTCTGCCAGCCCAGCAGCGTGGCGATATTCGATCTAACGAATCAAGCTGATGTCTGCAGACGTGACGATCCCCCCGGGTCAGGCCTGTCAGCGCGGAACTGGCCACACATTCCGGCCAGCCGAACCGTTCGTCTGGTCGGACCAAAATATTGAGTTTCTAGTCGTGTTCGACGGCCGCTGATTTGATCGGGCCGCTCTCAGACCGCTCGGGGATTCCTCCCGCAACTAGTCACTCGATAGTGTGTGTACGAAGTATCTTACTCTGCAAGATCATTAGATGATGTATGGATTATCTACGCCCCGTATTTCTGCACCATCGCTAACACCGCGGCATTGACTTCCCGCGCGTTCGTCGCATTCAGATAATGTGCGCCTTCGGCCACCAGTTCTAATTTCGCCTCCTCTGACCCCGTGAATCGCAGGATCTGCTCGCCCGCCACGGTCGTCTGGAATGGGGTATCTTCCGTGCCCTAGTTCAGTAGCCACGCATTAGCCCCCACCACTATTACAATAATTTCTACTTCATAGGGCCGGATTATCCCAACTCACCTGCAGCCAATACACCGGACACTTGACATCCCCTAGTCTTAGAAGCAATCCATCGCGCGTCAACAAACACATGAGTGCCATGCGCACTTTCTTCCGTCCTTCATCGCCCTTGTATACTTCTTGCAGCGTGCGCTTCCAAAACCCGACCGTCTCCTCGGTCGCATTCTTCCCGAATCCGATCCCTCCGACCATGCCGCACCAGATGTCGTCGACGATGAAGTCGGGGGTGGGGGTTGGACTGCTCCATTTTTCGAGAAATGGGGTCAGCAGCGTCACGGGATCCCAGCAGCCCTTGGTGCGGGAGTCGGTGGATTCGTAGTCCATGGAGGTGCCGAGGGGGAGGAGGCCGAGGATCTATTGCATTCAGTATTCATCCAGGTTTACTCACCCTTGACAGTCTCATGTTGAAGGAATAGTAGGGATGGGGGAATGGGGGCGCACCCTCTCCGGCGCCAACAACGCCATCCTCACCACCATCCACCCGCCCTGACTTGTTCCCAGCGCAAACGCTTTCTCAATCCCGAGTTTATCCATCGTTTGGAGCGCCATGATCGCCGTGTCCCAGTAGGTAAAGTGCTCCGCGACATGGCAGTGCGTGGCGCCATGGCCGAGGGGTTCGATGGCGAGGAGATTGGCTGCATTGGTGAGGGTTTCGTCGTTGAATTGGGGGTCGTAAAGGGACACGGTCATGCACATGGAATTGAGAAGCACCACGGTCGGCTTGGTGGGGTCGTAGCGGTTGTTGGTCAGGCGGTAGCCGACGTCGATGCCGCCGAGGTGGGGGACTGTGAGGGTGGTGGTGGCGGCCATGGTCTTCTTACCCAGTGTGAGGGTTCAATCAGGGTGTAGAAGAGGGATAGGAAATATAGAGAATAAAGGCAAGGGTATGGTATAGCTCGTGGGTCGGGGCATCCATGGTTCAAAACAATCAGTAAATGGTACGATGGGACTACCCGAATGACAGATAGTGACACTGACAGATGACAGCCGGCCGAGGAACACGCATTCCACGGATATGCTGCCCGTTTCGGTGAATGAGGGGTCGATCTGACTCGCAACTTCGTATCCTCTTCTGGTTGGCCATTCAATAGACAACCACGTCGAACCCTAAGCCAGCACTAGCCTCGCCTCACTATCTGCAATTGGCCTCCTCCGAACCACGTCCGAGACATGATCCGCAGTGTCGGGTCCGCTGCTTGGCAGTGATTGGCCCACACACAATAAACTTCTGATGGGCGTTTCGGGTTGCTGCACGCCGGACAAGTTCCTGGTTCGTTCGGTTGCCCTACTCCTTACGGACTACTCGGGACTAAGTCAGGGATGGGATCATGCAACCATGTGTCGGACTGACTCGCGGGAATGTTCCTGGGCTACGCGGCGATAACGTTATGAATTTTGATTAATAACGGTCGGAATCACGAGTCATTCCTGGTGTCATCTCCGTCATAATTAAGCTTATTGTCGCGTGGGTGTGGAGTAATTTGTCACTGTGGGTGTGCTCGTATGCCGGTCTTTCCGGGATAATTTTACTTTATGAACATCATACTATCTCCGCATGCGTACTGGTTCCTTTCTCAACCTCTGTTTCCTCCGACCGGCCGCTTCTCTCCTTATGGATAGGGAGATCCCATCCCACCCGCCACCACGGCCTCGTAAACACCTCCTCCATCCCCTCCATGCTCTTGCCCTTGCATTCGGGAAACGCAGCCGCTACCCACAGCGTCCCCACTGTGGTGAATGCCGTGAACAGGGCAAATGGACCCCAGGTGTGCATACTATCCGTCATGTTCGGGAACGCGCGCGTAATTCCGAAGTTTAGCAAGTTCTGGTACGTGAACGCCAGGGTTACTACTGTGCCGCGGATCCGGGTCGGGCAGATCTCCGATGCAGTTAGTGAAAACGCTGGCGCCCAGCCGAAGCCGTATCCGATGGCGTAGATGCAGATGGCGACGATGCTGACCCAGGAGGCTGCCGAGAGGCCGGTGGAGGAGGAGGACGGGGGGCTGAGAGCGAGGTAGCAGGTGAGGTACAGGAGGCAAAGTACGTTTATGGTGGAGCCGAGGAGCAATAGAGGCCGACGGCCGTAGCGGTCGGTCAGGAAGAAGGCGTAGAACAACACGGATACGAACTTGATCAGGCCGTAGATGGCGGTGAAGAGGAGTACTTGCGTCTGGGTCAGTCCGATCGAGTTGAGAATGTCCGGCGCGTAGTACGTGATGCTGTTGCCTCCTGACATGATGAAAAAGGTCTGGATGAGGGTAACGAAAAGAAGCACTTTGCGTGTTGGAGCGTGGTGGATGCATTCGCGCAGCAGAGTGAGGAAGGCTTGCACTGCAGATTCGGACGTCGTGTCCAGCTTGCTGCAGAGCTCGGTGTATTCACGCGCAAAGTATTCAGTGCTCTCATCCATGTCACCACGCAGCCGGGACAGACTGCGATGTGCTGCCTCAACGCGACCGCGCATCATCAGGTAGCGGGGGCTCTCTGGGAAGAAGGGGAATCCGAGCAGGAGAATGAGGGCAGGGATGGATTGCAGCACCAGAGTGGTGCGCCATTGCCAGCTGGAGGTGCTGGGAATGACTTCCAGCGATGCGTAGTTGATCCAGTAGCTGCCCGTCACGCCGCCCATTATATTCACATTGTAGAAGGTGGTCATCATTCCCCGCAGCTCCAGAGGCGCTACCTCCGAGATATATATGGGCCCGGCAGACATGCCCAGTCCAGATCCTAGCCCAGACAGGACACGCCCGACGAGCAGCTCGGCAAAAGAGCCCAGGTTGGCGGCCATCAGAATAGCCCCGATGGTATAGCAGATGGCTGCAGCGAGGATGACCGACTTTCGCCCTCGTCGGTCCCCCAGCGGACCTGCGAAGAACACTCCGACTGTTTGGCCCTACGTCGGTTAGTCAATATGTTTCTAGATGGCGGAGACACGTACCAAAAGCATCGAGGATACCACCCATCCTTCATAATTAGATACGGTCGTACTGGCAAGGTGCTTCCATCCAAAGTCTTCATCCCATTGCTTCATCTGCATCGCTCCGGATATGTTGGCCGTATTGAAGCCATGCAACCCACCGCAGTAGGACGCCCAGATGACCGCAAGCCAGATGTATGGCCCTCGAGCTGCGGGGGGAACGCGCTTAAACGCATCCAGGGAGAATCCGCCACCAGCTGCTCCCATGTTGAGTGAGAAAAACAAGTCAATTGTTTGAGTCGAAACAGGCTGGGACTTCAACCAGGTGTTTAGGATAGGATGACGGACAGATATGGGAGATCTATATATCCAGCATGTCGGCTTATCAGACACTGTAGCGCCAATCAGCCACATAGATGCACCCATCAGCTAACCTAGTCAGATGGTATGACCGGCCACTCGGATCTAGGAATCCGGGGTACATCCGAGGGAATCTGGGGTGGCCTTGGGCTACTCCGGAGCCGGAGCTACCCATGGAGTACACCCTCCGGAAGTGGCACCCTGGTAGTGGCGAGGTTGGCAAGATACCTTCCGGTCAACAGTCGCAAGCATTAACAAAAGTATATTCTCACTTTATACTCATACTGCTCGTTGCAGAGCGAAATGTAATAATCAACTACGTACCGTTTTGATATGGTTCAAAGCACTACCCGCTCGCAGCCAAGGGAGCTGCCCGGCATGGTAGCTGTGGCTCAATGGAGCTTCCCAGACCTCTCCATCGCGCGGAGTAACCCGCATGGTGACTTCACTACCTGGCTGCAACTCGCCATCCTCTACGCCAATTAACGTGATCCGATCTCCCTCTTGCACTCGGTCATAGTCCGCTGGGTCGCGGAACGTAAGGGGGAGCATTCCCTGCTTCTTCAGATTGGTCTCATGAATCCGAGCAAATGACCGGGCGATGATGGCAGTACCACCAAGGTATCGAGGCTCCAGCGCAGCGTGCTCTCGTGAGCTGCCCTCGCCGTAGTTGTTGTCGCCCACCACGCACCACCGGACCGCTCGCCGTTTCAGGTCGCGGGCCACTTCATGGGCAAGAGTGACTTCCGATGTGAGCGGGTGCTTCGTGTGACCCAGCATCTGCGGGCTATCACCCAGGAAAGCGTTGGTTGCGGTGGTGAACATGTTGTTGCTGATATTTTCCAGATGCCCGCGGTATTTGTACCACGGACCGGCCGGTGAGATATGATCGGTGGTACATTTTCCCTTCACCTTGATCAGTAACTCCATGTCGGTCGCATTTCCAGACTTCCACGCTGGAAATGGTTCCAACAGCTGGAGCCGCTCGGACCGCTTATCGATGGTCACTGACAGGGAGGAGCCGTCCAGCGGCGGTTCTTGGAAACAATCTACCCCCCGATCAAATGTGGTGGGTAGCTCCTGGCTCACAGGAGCGCTAAATCGGAGCGGCGAACCCCCCTCAACCGGGATACTGTCGGTGAGAGGGTTAAAGTCGAGGCGGCCCGCATAGGCAAAGGCCGTGACCAGCTCGGGAGAGGTGACAAAGGAATGAGTAGCCGGGTTGCTGTCATGGCGCCCGACGAAGTTTCGGTTGTAGCTGGAAATGACCGAATTCTTTTCTTTGCCGCGGACATCAACGTCCTTGCGATCCCAGGACCCGACGCACGGTCCGCACGAGCTGCTGAGCACCATGGCCCCGGCATCCTCGAGGTCCTGCAGAATACCATCGGCTTCGGCCGTGGCCCGGATGGTCTCACTACCCGGCGAGACCAGGAAAGGAGTCTTGAACTTGGTCAGTCCAGCCGCACGGGCTTGATTCACCAACTGCCGGGCCTTGTCCAAGTCCTCATACGAGCTGTTGGTACAGCTGCCCACCATGGCATGGCTAAGATCCACTGGCCAGTCGCTCTGAGCTACCGCTCCGGACAATTGTGAGATAGTATGAGCGAGATCCGGAGTGAATGGGCCGTTGACATGCGGTTCTAGAGTGCTTAGGTCGATCTCAATCACCTGGTCATAGTACTCTTCCGATCCCTCGTCCGCGGTCAGGAGAATGTCCTTGACGGGAGTAGCAGCTTCAACGACATGACCGCGCGCGGTGGCAGTCAGATAGCGGGCAATCGCCTCCGAGTAGGGGAAAATACACGAGGTCGATCCGATCTCCGCGGACATGTTGCAGATGGTGGCCATGGCTGTCGCACCCAACGTCTTCGTGCCTGGTCCGAAGAATTCAATGACTCGACTCTTGCCACCAGACACCCCGAGGATTCCGGCCAGTTTACAAATGATATCTTTGGTCGATGCCCATCCCTGAAGTTCTCCCGTAATTTTCACCCCCACCACATACGGCGTAACCAACTCCCAGGGCATCCCTGACATGGCATCCACCGCATCCGCTCCCCCGACGCCGATTCCAAGCATCCCCATTCCACCTGCATTCGGGGTGTGGGAGTCTGTGCCGATAATTAAGCCTCCTGGTCTGCATCACAGCGGTTAGCCAGAGTCATCCGGTGTTCTCGATCAACCATACACTGCATAGTTCTCAAAAATAACTGTGTGGATAATTCCCGATCCGGGTTTCCAGAAGCCAATTCCGTACTTTCGCGACGCGCTACTGAGGAAGTCGTAGACTTCGGCGTGCTCGGTGATCGCTCGCTCCATGTCCTTCTCTGCGCCCTTCTCCGATATGATCAAGTGATCGCCATGCACCGTCGTTGGCACTGCAACTCGCGGAAGCCCTCCACTGATGAACTGCAGCAAAGCCATTGTGGCAGTCGCATCGTGACAGGCAACCCGGTCGGGGCGCAACTCCAGGATGGTTTTTCCCCGCGTAATTCCATCTATACTCCAGCGATCACCTTCCGTATCAAATACATGACTGTAGAGTGTCTTTTCAGCCAAGGTCAAGGGGCGCTTTGATCCCTTCTTCAGCGCTTCGAGGGCTCGGATTTGTTTCCCATAATCGACACCGAAAGTCTATACATAGTGGCCATATCAGCACGAGCACCTTAGGTTGGATGCAGCACTTACTGGGTCACGAGAGAGATTTGTCGCAGACCCCCGGGCCCCGCACAGGGATGGGTATGTTACGTTTGCCCTTGACAGTCTCTCGCAAAAACGCTGCATCTTGCTGGCTGGGTATCAAGAATTGAAGTCCACCTGCGAATGCAAAGGACGAAGAATGATCGCAAGCTCAGCATCGTGTAGCAGAAGAGCCAATGGGAGGTGCTCCGATGCGATCAGTCAGCCAGCCAGGAACCCTCCGATGCGGCTCCGGAGTGCTCCGGCCGAGGTTCCCCGGGCGGGCCCGGGCTACTCCAGAATGCGGGGAATCCGGCCAGACTCGGGCTGCTCCTGCCCCGGAAGCTGGGGACTTCAAACTCGAAAACCACATATCCCATCTCGTATCCATCCATCCGAGCCAATCCGAATTTCAGCACAATGGCGGCCAGATCCAATTCCTTGCGTGCTTTGCAGCGCTTTACGTCCTGTGATGTAAGCACCTTTCTGTCCTATCATCATCAGAGCCAACCAGGTTGTTAGGTCGGCGATGCGCTCGTCAAGCTCGGTGTCCCTCATGGCGGCTATCTGTCTGGGATCACCATGTACTCTCCCGGCCTCATGTCCCCCACGGCGAAGATCTTCGGTCCCGCATATACAGTGAAAATGGTGCATGCCGCGGACAAGGCTTCGCCAACACTCGAAGTTCACTTTGCCGATGCCATTCCCCAAGATAGCGTCGTATTTGTATCGCAACCGAAAGGCCTGATCAGTGCCTGCTGGGGAGGTCTCATGAGCACCCGCGCTCAGAACCGCGGTGCGGTGGGAGTCGTCATCGATGGCAAATTTCGCGACATCCATGAGCATCGCGAACTAGGGATGAATATCTTTGCGCGTGGCATCAGTGTCCTAGGATCAAATACGTTCACCCGTTCTTCGGAGCTGAACATTCCAGTGACGTACGAGAACATAGAAAACGGAGGACAGGTTGTCATCAATCCCGGGGATTATATTCTTGGAGATGCGGATGGAGTGGTCGTTGTCCCGCCGGATAACGCGGAAGAGTGCGTGCGTCTTTGCCAGGAGCGCTATGAGATTGATGAGGAGACACGACGCTGTTTGGAACGCGGAGATGAGATAGGAAGTACAATCAAAAGGCTGCGGAAATAGATCAGTCTGAATGTCATCAGGCTCGCCGAGGGATGACATGTCCCTGTTTGGAGACGAGACTTGATTATCACAGAATCCATGGCTATCTGTAATTACCGTCTATCTTGGGGACCTTGAAATTGCGTAGGTCTGTAGGTCTACCCAGTCCGATTACCTGGAAATTTCGTAGACACAAAACCATGCTCTTACGGGACGGTGCTTCCCGAGAATGGATCCCAGCTCCAGTCCCCATGCACAAACTCCGCCAGGAAGCTTTCCATGGCAGAATCAATAGCCACGGTGTCAGAAGCATCCAGGTAAGTCGTGTCGGGGCGCAGTAAACCAGGATCCTCCAATGAGTAGTTTACCTGGTGTCCTGAACTCGTGTTAGCCAAGTGGTCTGCAAACGCAAAAGAATAAAGTCTCACCTGTGGTCCTAGGGGATCGTTCGCTCGAAAAATCCCCAAGTCCCAATGTGTCCCCGACAAACGGCACCCCCCGGTCAAAGAGAGGTTCCGTGGCCAGATTCGTGCGCGCCGTATCAGGTTGCCCGCTTATATCGATGCTTTCCGGTTCTAGTCGACGCCGCGTTCGCGGGGATGGGGGCCGGGAACGGCTTAACCGACGTATGGTAAGATCCACGATTTGATCGAAGCTTCCCTTGCCATTACGTACCGAAGGCCACCATTGACCACCGATACTGAGAAGGTTCGAGCATGTTCGTAGATCCCACAACACCTCGGCAAACGGGATGTTAGCCTGAATGGCAGGACAGGCCCAGATACAATAGACCATGGTCGCACCCGAAGAAAATATCCCATGAATATTTCGCCAGCTGTAATACAGCTGATCCTCGGTGCTGAGATGATTGTAGATCTGTACTTGCCGGCTACTACTTTGGTAACATTGCAGCAGCGCACTTTGTGAGGGCGAACGAAAAACTTGAGAAGGTTGAAATAAGAGGGTAATTGCTGAGTGGTATAAGATCTCCAACTTGAGCTTCTCATGCTGGAAGCGCAGAGTGTCTCCGTCCCAGTCAGCAGGCGGTAAGATAAGGGATGTTTCAGTCAGCCACGCGTCCAGATCAAGCTTAATGCGTGCTTGGAGGCCTTTGAGGTCACCTGGCCACACAATTGGCCGAAGCTCCTTAGGTAAGTGGTAGAACAGAAGCTTTATTTCCGAGATATACTGGTCCAGTTGAAAACGACGGATGGACAATGCCATGTGCGCCGGCGACGGTGTTGATACCTTCAGATTGTGACTTGCCACAGCGAGTAGGTCTCCTCTAATATCTTCTAATGTCGGACACCGGATATCAAAGGTTTCATCCCTGATGCCCAAGGGACGGCCTTGAATAGTGGCTATAGATCTAGACGAGTCAGTTTGAGGAGCTTTGCGGGATTGCACGACCTACCGATCAAGCGAGTATACGGTAAAGAATATCAGTCTATGAACTGCCAAAGTCGGGCTGGAAGCAGTTGATGGGCCTGGCTCCCGGTGAAGACCCAAGTCAATGCAATGAGACATTGCGATATGTGACAACGTCCAGATGTTGAGACCTGCTGGGCATATCATACTATGAACCGCCAGGAGCAATATACCCTGCAAGGCGGTCACCGATACTGAAGAAAAACAGTCGGATGCTTCGACAATGGCAAATCGGTAGAACCTTGTCGGAGAATGATCAAAGTTCTTCTTGCGCGTGAGAACTGTTGCTGCGAGAGAAAATACCATGGAAACATGGAATGCGGCTGTGAAAACTGAGATTGGAGTGGACTCTTTACCCTCGACAAGATCTATCTTGCCATTATAATAGAAGGGCCGTATGCCTTCCATCCACCCGTTACTGTCATATCTCCCAGTGAGTTCCGTCTGTGTGCTCTCATGCAACGCCCAGTACGCATTGGCGAGGGAAGCTGGGTGAAGGAATGGCTGGTCGATGTGGATATGCTGGAAATAAATTCCGAGTAGGATTGCAGCGTCCTCGGGTGAAGGAAGCTCCTAAAATCATGAGAAATGTGGTGGCTGCGGCAGAGACGACCATTCGAACCTTTGCTAATCTCCGGTATAGGGAGTGATACGCCGCTGTCGACAGCTGAGAAGCCGTCGATCGCCCATTATGGCCAGTCTCCGTGCGGTGCCCATAAATTGTTGTCTGTATATTTCTGTCTGCTCCAATGAGCTTTGTGAATAAGAGACCGGATGAAGAACCCATATAGTGTTGCTGTCTGGAATCCGAATGCAGCGAGAGCATTCCCAGGACATTCGCTACCGAGGATGCTTCAGCCGATAGGGGCCGATCCAGTTCAAGTCCCTCGACTGAGTCGTATGGCCTTTTCCCCGTGACTGGTTGCTTGTCATGGTTCTGTGGCTGGGTCTCCATGCCGGAAGGGTTGCTAGGTTCTGTGATTCCTGGGCTGGGCTGTGAGGACATCTCGACCTGAGCTGCGTTCACCGATGGCCCCTTGGAGAAGTCGAATTCGGGGTCCAATAGGCGTATCTGTTGTTCCAGCCATCTGATTCGGGCGCAACATTGTGTGATGAAGCTAAGACCCGGAAAGTTAGCACGGTCGGGGACACCACGGCAGCTTCCGAACTTACTCTCGAGGAATGAAAATGTCGCGATTGCGGCCATCGACATCGACGCAAGGCACACTTGCTCGCGAACAATTGCTGCAGGCAGGGATGCCGCCATCACACTACCGGGTGTGTCAGCCAGACGCGCGCATCACTTGGCAGCATGAATAGGGCCCACCTTGACGCGTTTTGCTCGACATCGGCGACAAGCAATGCGGACTTTCTTTGGAGGGGGCGGGGTTGGCGGCTCTGTATCTCGGGTGCTCATGGTGAGGTGTTGACAAGGTATAAAGTCCAATAAACCCGAGTATTGGAAAACGTGCGACCTGCGATCGGAGTGTGGGGAAGCGGGAGAGGCCACAGGGACGGAGTCGGAGAATTGGGCGGCACATGATCCGCTTCCCCACCGCCGCCTTGACGAGCGGCCTTTACTAGCCTCTACACTCTACACTCATCCTTCGTCTTTCTGCAGCGAATCGGTCAACAAGATAGCAAATTATTGTATGTGGCGTGCGGCTAATTTTGAGTGAAGATCTCATGCTATCTGCGCACATGGCAGATCATCTGGGGGATCGGCTCTATATATATCAGACGGAATCGTGGTGTCAATGATGAGTAGCCACTTCCACCGACTTCTTGAGATCTAATGTTGATACCAGTGAATACGGCTCGAGCCCAGAACGAGAAATTGAGGAGGAGAAAAGATAGAATCCAGCGGAGCAGGGTTCGACTCCGTCAGCCGATGTGCCTATAACATAATGGATCGCCACCAGGCCAGCGAGTCATTATGCGGGTGGCCTGTGTCAACACGGGGTAAAGGAATAAAGAAGGGTACTGGTGTGGGGGAATGGAGGCATCTCCGGGTGATGTTGCGCGGGGATGGGGGTCGCTCCGGCTCTCGTCGCTGCCGGCCCGGAGTAATCCACCCTTCGGGAGGGGATGCCATTCGCAACACAACCTGGCGGATTCGCTCCCTACAGATATAAGGAACCCCCGAGAGGCCCGAGGGCCATAGTGAGTCGTCAGTACCCGAAATGCTTTCAAGACTCCGCAACCATACAAGTCGCACTATGACTATCATAAGCCGGCCGTACACTAGCTCCGAATTGTTCCCACACGGTGGTTGGGACGTTCACCACCATATTTTTGACCGTGCGATTGATTATCTCCTGTTGTATCAACATGATGACTGCACCCATGCTAATGAGCTTCTTTGACAGCGGCCAAGTTTGCGTATGCCCCAGATCGACACCTTACTCCACCTCCGGCGACCGTCCAACAGTTCCTCGACTTCAAAAAAAAGATTGGTATTACGAATTCAGTCCTCACCCATGGTCTATCATATGGATCGGACTGCACATCACTCAAAGCATTCGTTCAGGAGCTAGGGAACTCGGGGACCAAAGGCATCGGGGTCATCGACCCTGACACAATTACACCGGGGGAACTCCAGGAGATGCACAGCAAGGGGATTCGGGGGATCCGAGTCAACTTGTACAAATACCAGGCCATGCATGATGTGCAACGACAAAAGCAGGCTCTGCGTGAGCATGTCCGGGCAATTGGAGCGCACTGTCCCGGTTGGAGTATGGCATTTACGCATGTGCATCCCGAGTTCTGGGGAGAGCTGGCACCCATGATCCAGCAGGACATTGTGCCTTCGGGCATTCGTCTAGTTACCGACCACTTTGCATTGCTCAAGGGCGCTAGTATGCTACCTGCGGAGTGCGAGGGGGATATCACTCGACAGCCCGGCTTTAGAGAAATCATGGACCTTGTCCGCGCCGGAGTCCTTTATGTGAAACTTAGCGCTCCATACCGGGTGAGCCTTGAGGCCCCCCGGTATATGGAATTGAAGCCGCTGGTCCGCGCGTTCCTTGATGCTAATCCACAACACGTCCTTTGGGGAAGCGACTGGTGAGTGTGCCATGTTCCATCTCCGGATGCCGTGCCGCTACTAATGTTTGGAGTGTATAGGCCTCATACTCCCCACATGAAGGTGCGTACGCGTGAAGAGGCACTACGAGAGACTCCATACTTGATAGCGGATGATGTGGAATGGTTAAAGAATTTGCGGTCATGGGTGAGTGCGGAGGAGTGGCACGCGATGATGGTGTTGAACCCGACGAGACTGTATGGATGGTGACCCGGATTTCCCGGCCCAACTACCTTGCCTGATGACTGCTATGGCCTGTCAGAAGCTAGCCCAATCAATCTTAGTGTGAATCACCTGATCTGGGACTAAACCCTGAATGGTCGGCGACGGGACCACCTCCGACCGCCGACCTCCGAACCTCCACCCGCTTCCCTGCGAATTGTGGCCACGTCCTCCTTGATAGTTCCATACCCCGGTAGCTTATCTAAATCGCATCACAGCCGAGGGCTGCATTTACTACTTGAAGAACGTCCCCTCAATTACCGCAATGAATTCGAGATCCACCGATTTTGGGAGTGGACGATCGTCATTAACGTGGGACACGCGAGGCACGGACAAACCGAAACCTCCACTGCCGGGCTTGGCGCAACGCAATCCTCATAAATAGTCCGGAGTAATCCAGACCATCTCCCGAAGGTTCTGACACTCATCATGTCCGCATCCATGTCCTCGAGCTATCGCTCTCACGTCCCGTTGGACCCTTCGCCTCCGCTGAACCAGTCATGCGAGAATTGTAGGTCGCTCAAAGTGCGCTGTCTGCCGGATCCCAACACCCCGCGCCAGTGTCAGCGCTGTACTCGGACGCGAAGAACTTGCGTGTTTGCCCATACCCTCCGGCGTCAACCTCGGAAGAAAACCGGCTCCCGGGTCGCTCAGTTGGAGAAGGATGTGCGAGATTTGCGCTCATTGCTGCACGACCAGATGCGAGCCGATCCGGACCGGGCCCAGAAGGAGGATGCCGCTCCGGCTGCAGCCCCAATTGTCGGACCGACTAGGACTTCAGCCCGCGATGCAGCCTCCTTCGTGACGCTGCCATCATCCGTACAAATAGAGGTCTCTGGCCCTCGCAGATCGTCTGCTGCGAGCGACCCAGCTCAACACGCTAGGAGTCTAGACGGTACTTCTGCTACCATCAACAGTAACCCAGTTATGATGCCATCCCCGACTGGCTCTGGCGACGTGGTCGATCGCGGCATCATATCACACGACACGGCACAAATGCTGGTATCGATCTTTGTTAACGATCTCACCCAATTCTACCCCGTGGTTGTGCTCCCGCCAGACACAGATGCAGCATTACTGCGCAGAACGAGCCCGGTGCTCTTTCTGTCCATTATTGCGGCGTCATCTCTGACCCTAGACACGCAGTACTCGACTGTTCTGAACGAGGAGTTGCTGAAAGTATATGCCGAGCGGTTCTTTCTCCGACAGGAAAAATCAATCGAGCTGATTCAATCCATTCTCCTGATGCTCATTTTCTATTTTCCTCCAAAATCACGTCTGCAGGGGCAGTATTACCAATACACCCACATTGCCACCACCATGGCGCTGGAACTCGGCATTGTGGCTGGTGAATCTGGACAAAAGAATCGTCGTTGCCATGGGGGCGATGGCGACCTACCGACTGCCACCCATAGTCTTCAGGCACGAGCAGTACTGGGGTGCTACCACTTCGCGTCCAAGTATGGCCCTGAATGCCCCGCGTAGTCGTTATGACTGACATGCACGTAGTATAGGTATTCGAACGCATCGACCAAATATGCTCTGTTTCAATGGTGTAATCGACGGGTACATCAGCCACCTTAGAGAGTCCGCCAACTTCCTGGATCAGCAACTGGCAACATGGTTCGAGATACAGCGAATTGTAGACGATACATTATCGTCCTTGGGCCACGACAATACACTCATTGAGACCCCTCTGCGCGAGTCACAGATGTTGCCGATCTTGAAATGGTTCGATTCTCGCATGCTACACTGGAAGAAGTCGGTCCCGGAAACCATGCTCACGAGTAAGCCTCCTCCCTAAATCGCCTGAAATATTCTCATCGTAATGTCAGCATGGATGACCCTTGAATACCACTACATGTACCTCACGATCTATGAACTTGCAGCTGGCGAAGGCTACCGTGACCCAGACGCGCCAACGCGGAAATACTACACACTCCCACCCTTGGAGGGTGACATGGAAAGACAAAGGGCGAATGTACCGTTGAGCGCGGCGCGAGTGCAAATTATCACGAAGTGGATGCTGGCCGCCCACCAAATGCTCGATGCCTTCTTACAATGCGACACCGCCACCCTGCGCCAGCTACCCAACATGTCCTATACCCGTATGGTCCTGGGTGTCTCGTCTCTGCTGCGGATCTATCACACGTCTCAGTTCGGCCCTCTCAGCGAGGTGATTCCTTCCCAAATGATCAATGTCGACGGATATCTGGACCGTGTATCTCAGGCGCTCCTGCGAGCCAGCGGAGACCGGAAGTACCGCGTTCCGAGCAAATGGTACCATGTTGTTGCTATCAAGAACCGGGACTGGTATGAGCAGCTTCAAAGACGAATCATCGCTCGTCCGGTGGATAGTCATGCTTATCTGCGCGGCGGAGTCGCTCCAGCGGGTCTCCCTATGTCGGAGTCCCAGAGGGGCCCAAGTTCAGCCGCGATCTTACCCTCGCTCGGGGACGGAGTGGCTGGCCCTGCGTATGCGGATTCGTGGTATGTAGAAGATCCCGTGGGGAGGATCGACTCATCACGATCATTTCCTCCTGTGAACGCGCCGCTTTCGTACATGAACCCGATGCAGCCAGCAGCGGGAGACGTCGAGGGGGCGACGTTTCCACCGCCCGACGAGCATGGAGACTGGCGGCTAGATGAGTCTATGCATCAGGGTGTCACATTTCCCTATTGAACCTTCTTATTTCCAGAATATGCTGCCCGCCTAGCAGCACAAGGTTCAATGCGTACCTCTGATGACATTCGATGACTATCCGCCATTGAACGAGCCACAATAGCGTCGTCGGCTCCACAATTGGCGGTAGAATATCCAGTGGCCCTGAAGAAAGCCATATGTTCGTGGTTGGCGACCCTGACCGAGTTCGAGGTCCAACATAGGCCGAGGCTATAGTGTCTCGAGCGACTGGACGCCTGATTGGCAAAAGGGAAAGGACCGGAGTCCTTCCTGCTTCTCAGATCCATTCATCCACTGTTCTTCTCCAGTGCAAGCTCGCTTAAATTATGATATGAATTCACGACGCAGCAGAACGAAACCGGCTCAGCAGAACAGATTTGACCTTGACAGGGTACACGCATCAGGGACTTAGGTCTCGAGACGTATGTTAAAGATCGTCAGTGTCCGGGTGGCATCCTTGCAACGCACCTATACAACTGTTAACCTTTTAACAGGCAGGGCATAAGTAAATATTCCAAGAGTCCCGTAGAAAAAGGAGCATTGAAGGGGGTGCTATATGGGTGCTCACACGAGATTCCAACCTGCACCGCGCCCCCCCCCCCCCCCCCATACCCCACAGATCCTTCTATTTGAGGTTTCCAGTCCCAACTTCGCTCGTACATGTTTATCGCACGGTCTCTATAGCAAACCCCATGCTACATCATCCCGAACAGGTATAGCAGCAGTCATGCAAACTGTTTCGCAGGTGGCGATGAGGGATTTCCCGTTCGGCCAGTATGGGTTGATGCTGGAATGCACCGCCACGATGACATCCACCCTGGGCCTTCTCTGGATAAGCCATTCGAGTGGGCTGTTCTGCTGCTCTTCGCCGCCCTCAACGCCCGTGAGTCTCGGGCCCGGCGCAAAGGGGGCCGAGGCCTTGTTGAGCCGGTAGAAGGAATTCGGGTCATAGGATGCCGGTCTGTTCATGACTGGGTTGTGAGAACTGACGGCGCGGAGGAATCGTTCAGCAGGAAGACAGTTTCACAGCATGGGCCTCCTCAGAGGTGTTGGTCGGAAGCTCGATATTCGGCAGCGCAAGGCGTGACATTCACGGCCAACTTACAGGACAAGCGGTGCAGGACCAACGAGGCTAGCAGTGCAGTGTCCCATGTTGACACCAAGGAGTCGAATGGATTTTGTCATAGGTCTTGGGGGATGACTCTATATAACTCTGAGAGCCTACCCTGATAAGAACATCAGGATGATGACAGCTGTAAGATGCGGAAATCCAGCCTAAATTCTGATTTGCTTGAGTAATACTAACGAGAATAATACATGTCGAATGGACAGATATGGGCTATCGAGTCGGTCCGGCTATTATTGGAGATACAAACCCATTTATTCTCTCAACGGGAGCCAAGGCTGGACGGCTATTCAAATCGGCCAAGAAGAGCTTGATCGCATCAAGAAGCTCGAGTTGGGGCTTGGTGAACGTTGCCGTGTCAAGTGGGCCAGATCGGCAAGCCTGAAGACAAGGATTGGCTGCCAACACGAGCCGAGGCCACTAGGTACTAGATGGTACGACGGTTCTCAGCTTGTCAGCCAAACATTGGCGGTGGCTGGCCAGCTGCCCGCTGATTTGTGGCTCCCCACAGATATCTTCCGCGGGCGTGGCCTGGTCGGTCGGCTTTAAAGCCAAGCCCCTCGCGCAGACCCCGACCGCTCCTCTCCGAACTCGTTACCCTTCTGAGCATTAGTTTGGCTGCAGCTGCCCTGTGGTGCCATGGTTTACAGAGGCAAGCCCAGTCTGGGATGTGAACTATGCCGGAAGCGCCGGCTGAATGTAAGTCCCTGCCCACTGCGAGATGCATGGCAACAGTTGACCGAATAGTGCGATCGGCGTGAACCATCGTGTTCGCAGTGCTTGCGGGTCAATCAGGCATGCTCCGGTTATCGTGATCCCAACACTCTGCGAATTCTGGATCAGTCCAAGGAAGTGGCTGTCAAAGCCCAGGCCCGACGAACTGCCTCCAAGTCGCCGCCTGCAGATCGGACCACCGCACCCCGGACTGCTCCACCCATCTCCCCGGACGAGCTAGCCATGTCCTACATCTTTACCCATCTTGTCGGCACGACCCAGAGCCAGGGCGTCATGTCGTACTTGCTAGATCTTCTGCACGTGGACCCCTCGCCGGCGCTCCAAGCCACCATCAAGGCTGTAGGACTGGCAAGCCTGTCTAGGTTGCCCGAGTCCAGGCGAGCAGCAGGGAAAGAATACACCATCGCTTTGCGTGCTACCAACGATGCGCTCCGGGACCCAGTCTCGGCCAAATCGGACTCCACCCTGGGGGCTGTTCTATTGCTCAGCACTTACGAGGTGAGATCCTCGACCTGTAATTCAACATGCTCTAATCATCCCAGATGATCACATGTAATCCCGCGGACAAAATGGGTACCTGGAAGCACCATGTGCAAGGCGCGACCAAGCTTCTGGAGCTCAGGGGCCTGGAGCAATTGAACTCGCGCGCAGGGCTAGAGTTGTTTACCACCGTGCGATTCCAAAATGTGGGTCATGCTGCTCCAGATGGCTCACTTCCGGTCTGACCGTTCTTGGCAGGCAATCAGTAGCATCTTTTACCGAAGCTCGGATCATAATACGCCAAAAATGGCAGCGTTATCCAAGGTCGCCCGATCCAAGCGAAGTGAACATTTCCAACCGATTGAAAATTTCTACGATCTACTACTGCGACTGAGCGAATTCTCTCTTCGCGTCGATGGCGCGCATCTGCAGCCCGATCCGGTCCAGAACCTGCAACAGCTAATCGACGAGGGCCTTCTCCTGGATGCTGATCTGGAATCGTGGAAAACATCGCTTAGTCCATTCTGGTGGTATACCATCGTCGAAGACTCGCACCCTGGTTCTGAACTTGGTCCTAATTTTCCCCAGCCTGGTGGCAAACATCACGTATACTACAATGTCAACCTGGCCTCGATGTGGAACCATTATCGGCAAGCCCGGATCGTTCTCAACGAGATGATTCGAACCATGTCCCTCCATCTGTGGGAGCTACAGCCATCATCAGAATGCCGACAGACGGTATACCAGTCGTTGGCCGTCATGAAACAAATGGCGGAGGATATCTGTGCAACCCTTCCGTACCATTTTACCTCTGGGGAGGCAGGATTTGGGGCCCTGGTCCGAATTATGTGGCCTTTGTTCATTGCAGGATACTGCAAGGGTGCCGATGCTGCCACCCGGGGATATATTATGCACGCCCTGGATTTCATTGGGAACACGGCGGGCATGCAGCAAGCGGATCACATGGCGCAGATGCTGCGAGAGGAGGTTACGATGACGATGATTCCTGGGAGTTGACATTTTGCCCCGGTTTCTCTTCGCTCCTATTGGATTAAGGCTCTGATTTGTGAGTTTCCTGGATCATTGGGTGGTGCTGGCCATTTGCCCTTTCGTCTTTGCCACTCAATAGGTTATAAATTCCGTTAACTGGCCCCTCTTGCCACAACAGAATAATACCATGTTCATAATGTGGATTCCAGCCTTGAGGAATCATGGCTTGATGAGTGGATACTCGATGGGATCGGGATAGGTTACCGGCTTAGGTTAGTGTTTATGCGTGTGGAACATCAATCCCCCGTGATAACCAATTGAATACAAGGAACAGAGGAGAGAATGAATACAAGTGGAGATGTGCCTTTCCCTTTAACTAGCGGGAATACGGCTACCTCAAAGGCGTGTGTTTCTGATCAGGCTTCTTTGGTTACACAGTGATGGGCGTCTGATGCGTGTTTCACTACAATATGGTGAGTGGGACAAGGAGGACAGCACTGAAGGCGGGATACCGAGTGACTTGCATGGGGCTAGTGGCAGGTAAGGCTCGGATAAATATGTCCCTGTCACACCCAGCAACCTCCTCCCAAAAGCCCCCATTCCCCTTAAGCATTACCTCTCCTGTAATAAGAAGAAGCAGTCATAGAAACCTAACCCTTTCACAGCGAACACAAAAGCCCAGTTTCCACAATACTAACGAAGGAAAACAAACCAACACAGCACTAACTCCCCCTCATTCACGGAACTACAATTCGACTAGGCCAATCGGTCATCGGAGGTCCCCAATACCAGCACCCCCGATCCCCGCTTCCCCGCCCTTAGACCAGAGGATATATTATCAGGGTCTGAGTGATCCTTCTCAACGCATACACATTGTTATGGTCTCCTGGCCTAATCATACTATTATCTACATGTTGAACAGCTCTCAGGAAGTAACAAGTTACAACACCTCACAGCACAAGCTATGATCAACATGGATATAACATGGATTCTGGCAGGACCACTTACGTGGTTACACTGATCTCAGCCTTGCAGTCAATGGAATTGACATCATGCTCGTAGAGGCATGTAGTCGTGCTTTCAGTGTTACCACTGGAATGGGACGAACTGTATCCCTGTATGAGTTGGGGGTGTTTTTACCAATTTGGGCATAAAGTCCGTGCGCGGTGTGGAAAAGTTCTGGCTGTGTTCTAGGATTGGAAATGACTTGCTAAGTTGGTATTGCGTATATAGAAAGTGAGGGTTTGATTTCTTTTTTTGTCGCTGTCACTGTTGCTTGGGACTTGGAATAACTCTGGAGTATAGATTTGGGTTTAAGTTGCTGGTTCCAGTTGGCACAGCGTGAGGCCAAATGTGAAACCTTTATGGATAGCTTTTACAGTATATTACAGTCAGTTAATGGAGGCAATGGATTTGGCCTGATCCTGCTTATTAGCTGCGGGTGACGTTTGCGCTCCAATCACAGCTATATTCATGACACATGGTATGGCTGATATGCTTTGTATGATTGGAATTGCTTTCTTACAATTCACAGGATTGTAAAGTATCATTACAGGCCAGAGGATGTATGGGTAAAACTATGATACAGTACCGGAGTCTAGCAGTGAAACATACACTAAGCAGTAAATAAGATAATAGCAATATTACTCGATTATTGAATTCTAACTACTTGTGGCCTTTGATGTGTTATCACTACCGTTGGCTGTTATTGGCTGGGTACCTGCGCGTTCTGACAGCAGGTACCAGTGACAGCAGATGTTGTCATGATTCATCCAGAGCACTCGGCTATCATCCCAGTCATGTTGACGGATGCTGCCAGGCCGTCCGTGGAAGCTGCAGCCGCTGCAAAGGAACATGCCCCGGAAGCTTTCACCTGACTGCTGAAATCTTCCGATATTCAATCGAGATCAGTCGTCATCTGGCAAGTTATATAAACCCAGACGATTCCCGTGTTACTCGACTGAGACATCCCCAACACTGCGGTACATTCCAACAGAGTTGTCAACCTTCTTCGCCTCACTTGATCCCTCTCATCCATCTACTTTCAAGTCACCTTTCGCTCAATCTATTTCGCATCCAACAAGATGTCAATCTACGAAGCTTTCCTTCGCTGTGAGAGTGCTTTTGAAGAGCTATACGACGCGACATGGTCCTACGAGGGATCCTACCATTACGGTGTGGTGGAAGACCATCGGGATTTCAAGTCCTGGGCACACACCGTTGGTGCTGCTTTCTCGCAGGCGTTTCTCGATCGTTCCTTGGACAATAAGCTCCGGGAATCGTCCCCGCTGAGAGATAGCGTTAGTAAATCCGTAATTCTGAGCCAAACGTGTCCTAACTCTTTCTCAGGTCCCCCACCTGCTGGCTTTGCTGGAGCAAAGCATCGAAAACGCCTGTCAGGTTCTAAGAAAGGAAGTCGCTTTTCTTGAAGCACCTTGCTATAAATCCTACGACCTTGGCTTGAAATTGAAACTCGCGGAGCCAGAGACCAAAGAGATCTTGTCCTGCGCAGATGTCCCCGACTACTGGGATGGTGAAACCGTGGCTCACTTGTCTGATACCTCGGAGGATTATGCTTCGGACTCAACGGCTCATTCAGATCCCCCTGAGGCAACCGAGTTGCAGAACGCCGTGGATGTGATTCGACAGGGAATGGACTCGCTCTGGAATCTTGAGCTCGACAATCCCGAGTCGCTTGATCGCTTTGAATCTTCCTTTGACGAAGAAGTGGCACTCTTTGAGGATTCCGATATCGCCTTGGTTCGGGCGACTTTTCCTGATGAGCGTCTGGGCGAAGATGTCCGACGCCGCATGGGAAAGATGATTACCATGTGTCGGCAGATTCTGTTCGATCGCCAGAGGGAGAAAGGTCTGCCGCTGCAGATTTCGTCGTCTACCATTAACCCTGACTTTATGTCATGCGCTTCTGACCCGGATTTGCCCGTTCGAGTGCCGAATTCCCCGGTTGAGCTGAAGGAAGGAGAAGCGACCGAGTTTGAATGCAAGTACTGCTACAATGTCGTTCAAATTGATGGCCATCGTGCCTGGGAGTAAGTGCCCCCCTTTAGTTGTTGAACTGAGCTAACCTCTGACAGAGAGCATGTCATCAATGACCTGCAGCCGTACGTCTGCACTTATACCCAGTGCAACGGTATTACTCACTTCTTCGAAGATATGGACGAGTGGGCTGCCCATGAGAAGAAAGAGCATGACAAGGGGGGCTACTGGTGCAATTTGACCGGACATGAAACCTTTGAAGATCGGGCTGAATTTACGCAGCATATGGTCGAGGATCACCACATGTCCGCCGAGGAAGTCTCTCCGCGTCAGTACTTCTGGCACGCCTCCGTGGCTGTTGGGGTGCCCCCGAGCGACGAGCCGGATGCGCCTGAAGAGCTCTGTAACCTGTGCTTCCAGTATACTCATGATCGGACGCAGCATGTGGCACGGCATTTGCAGCAACTGGCCATGTTTGCCATTCCTTGGGAGGACTTCGGTACTGACGAGGTCGATACCGCCGGTGATGAGATTGATACTTAGTACGAGGCGAAGCGGTACTACCGCGATGTACCTGAATATCGGACAGTGTTTGTTTTGCTTGACTCGGATTGATCCTTGCTTTGTTCGCTGAACCACAGTCTTTACCGTGTCGCTTTGCACAAATTGACCAGTTGCTTCATTAACTGTATTCGACCACACGCTATGCAGAATCAATACCAAAAAAATGTCGTTGCTATTTTCCCATCAACCCTTGAAACTAATAACCGCAATAAAACGACCACTGCCATTATCGTCTATCCATTCCATCCATCAATTAATTCATCGCAGAATCCCCGTAACCATCTTCCCACATAACTAACCTGAAGCTAAGAAAAACGAGTAACAGAATCAACTCCCCTTCTCCACATCCCGAATCTCCTCAACCTCCCACTCCGCCCGTTCCGCCTGTCGGTGCCGCCACGCCTTTTGGATGATCAGCGCCAGGATGCCACACAGGACGAGGAAGACCACGACAAAGTCGAGAATCACGCCGGGTTCTTCGCTGGCCCAGCTGCGTTTGGTGAGGGGCATTTTGTCGGTTGGATGAAAGGTGGGTGGTAGTCTTCCTCACTGTTAAAATCAAGAGTAGATGTATTGTAGGGAGAAGGCACTTACAATATTGTGATCGGAGGGTTTTGTACAGATAGATCGAGATACTTTAGATCTAAATCCCGAGGGAAAGTAAAGGGAGTTTTTGATGGAGATGGAGATGTATATCCTACCCAACCGGCCAAAACCAACGTTTTCTTTCCCGAACGTATCGGTATCCCCAGATTAAGTACATATACCAAATGAGCAGTCCGTCCCACATAGTGTATAGTGTACACAGTCGTGCGGACAATCAAAACCCCCCCATCCTGTTCCGTTCCATATTTCTACCCACGACATGGTGTCATCACCGCGCATCATCATCATCCATAATAGCACAGAATATAGAAGTGATGTCAACATTTTCTGTCTGGGCTGATTGGATACTGAAGTGACAGGGGCTGTGTTACTATAGTACAGGTATGGAGGTATCGGGACGCCCGGAACCCAAGACCGGTTTTTGCCAAAGCTCGGGCCTATCAGATGCGGATGCAAGTGCCGTATATCCGATGGGGAACAGATGGTTGTGATTGGTGGGTGGTGGGCTTGGTCCGGGGTTCATTATTTCTTAGTGGACCGTGGTTCTAGTGTGTAGTACGGAGTATTGATGGTTGATTTTAGGGACATGTCTGTTGTATTCGGATGGATTTTCGTGATATTCGTACGGTAGGGGAAACGGTGATTATAGTCGCTGAAATCGCAGGTAGACTTGGAATGATACAGTTCAGAATGATCATCAAGTCACATGCAAGTGCGGGATTATAACGAGTTACTGTACGGAGTAATCCAGCTAATATTGTTATTGTGGCATCTTAGAAGAGATAACCTGCTAGACAGCTGGTCCGTCCCTGTGGCGATAACGCGATAACCCCTGAGCCCCGTCCGTGGGTCCGTCTCTACCAAGCTTTTCCCCTCCGCACCGATCGCCGGAGCTGCGCCTACACATTACATCAGACCAGCTTCATCTGATCCATCAACCGCGATGACCGAGTTGGAGGTGGAGCATCTCTGCAGCTTGCTTTTACTTTCCGATAGCTAGCTGCAGCTTCTAGACGCTGTCCACGAATCTCTCTCGATCGGGTAAGCCAGACCTTGACCATCACGACGACTCGACACTCTGAACATCCAGCCTGCGACGTCATGAGTCTTTTTCTATCTCCGAGGATGCCGATATCCGACCGACCAGAAACAGGATGCAGGATGCAGAATGCAGGATGAGCTTGATGCCAATAGGTGTGATGAAAGGGACATACAAAACCATCCATTTCCTGTCTGCTACGTTCGAGCCTCATCCAGTCCACCTGTCATTCCCCTCTATCCACCATCCTCCCTCCCCCTCTCCCCCTCCCCATCCCTCTTCCCTCTCTGCTCACACTCATCATCAAGAGGTATCCAAAATGCCCACCGACATCGAACACACCTCCTCCTCCTCCCGCCGTCCCTCCCGTCTCTCCACCCGCTCCACCCGCTCCAACCACGATGACGCCAAACTCGACGAATACACGCGCCTGGTCCGGTTCATGTCCACCTACCGCGAAAAAGACGCCAACGATCCCGGGGAGGGTGAGATCCGCGAAAGTCGCATCTGGTACGCGCCGTGGAAGAAGCGCAAGTTTCGATGGAAGCATGTTGGGTCCTCGAGGGAGTTTCCCGAGGAATGGCGGATAACGGATATTCATCATGGGTTGGCGGATACGGATGTGGAGGAGAGGAGACGGTCGGCTGGGTTTAATGAGTTGAGTTCGCAGAAGGAGAATCCGGTGGCCAGGCTGTTGTCGTATTTTCAGGGGCCGATTTTGTATGGTGAGTTAGCCTGTTTTCTTTGGGGGTTGTTGCTTGGTTGGGAGGGAAGAGGAAAAGTAGGTTGTGTGCTAATTAATTAGTGATGGAGATTGCGATCCTCTTGGCCGCCGGATTGAAGGATTGGATTGATTTTGGGGTCATTATCGGCATCCTCTGTCTCAATGCGGCCGTGGGCTGGTATCAGGAGAAACAGGCCGAGGATGTGGTTGCTAGTTTAAAGGCCGATATTGCCATGCGCAGTACTGTGGTCCGGAATGGGGAGGAGATGGACATCCTGGCGAGGGAACTGGTTCCAGGCGATGTGGTAAGTTGACTTCTGTGATGTCTATGGATAATCGGATGCTGATGCTATGATCTAGATCATTGTCGAAGAAGGCCAAACTGTCCCCGCCGATGCCAAGGTGATTTGCGATTACGAGGATGCTGATAACGGATGGAACGAATACCAGAAGCTGCGGGACGAAGGGAAACTGGATGAGAAAGCGGACGAAAAGTCCAGCGACGAGGGCAGCTCGGATGAAGATGATGAAGACAATGGCTATCCTATCCTGGCCTGCGATCACTCCGCCATCACCGGCGAGTCCCTTGCCGTGGACCGGTTCGTCGGCGACCAGGTGTTTTACACCACGGGGTGCAAACGGGGCAAGGCTTATGCGGTGGTTCAGGCGACCGGCAAAAAGTCTTTCGTGGGACGCACGGCATCCATGGTGCAAAACGCGAAGGATACTGGCCATTTCCAAAAGGTCATGGATAGCATTGGAACGGCCCTGTTGGTGATTGTCATGGCCTGGCTGTTGGCTGTGTGGATTGGCGGCTTCTTTCGCAACATTCCCATCGCCTCGCCGGGTGAACAGACTCTGCTCTTCTATACGCTGTCCATTTTGATTATTGGAGTCCCTGTCGGTTTGCCGGTTGTCACAACTACCACCCTAGCAGTCGGGGCTGCTTACCTTGCCAACAAGAAGGCCATTGTTCAGAAATTGACCGCCATCGAGTCGCTCGCTGTGAGTCACGGAGCTATATCCAATCTTTGACTTGACCTCTTCCTCGTGGTGTTGTTGTGCTAACATCAACAGGGCGTGGACATTCTCTGCTCTGACAAAACCGGAACCCTAACCGCCAACCGCCTCAGTATTCGGGAGCCTTTCGTGGCGGAAGGGGTCGATGTCAACTGGATGTTTGCAGTCGCTGCCCTCGCCTCATCCCATAATGTCCGCTCCCTCGATCCGATCGACAAGGTGACCGTTCTCTCTGTCAATCAGTACCCCAAAGCCAAAGAGATCCTTCAACAAGGGTGGAAGACAGAAAACTTTACCCCATTTGACCCGGTTTCTAAACGAATCGTGGCGAATGTCTCCCTCAACGGCGAGCGGTATACCTGCACCAAAGGAGCACCGAAAGCAGTCTTGGCTCTAACCAACTGCTCGGAATCCACTGCGAAGATGTACAGAGAGAAAGCGACCGAGTTCGCACAGCGTGGCTTCCGATCCCTCGGTGTGGCCGTTCAAAAGGAAGGTGAAGAGTGGAGTTTACTAGGAATGCTGCCCATGTTTGATCCTCCTCGCGACGATACAGCACAAACCATCGCCGAAGCACAGAAGCTCGGCATCAAGGTTAAGATGCTGACCGGCGATGCCATCGCTATTGCCAAAGAGACCTGTAAAATGTTGGCACTCGGCACCAAGGTCTACAACTCCGAGAAACTCATCAGCGGTGGTCTCAGTGGCGCCATGGCCGGCGAATTGGTAGAGAAAGCCGATGGCTTCGCGGAAGTGTTCCCCGAGCACAAATACCAAGTGGTCGAAATGCTTCAGGATCGCGGCCATCTCACCGCCATGACAGGCGACGGCGTCAACGACGCGCCTTCATTGAAGAAGGCGGATTGCGGAATCGCCGTCGAGGGCGCCTCTGAAGCCGCGCAATCCGCATCCGACATTGTCTTCTTGGAGCCTGGCCTCTCCACCATCATCGATTCCATCAAGGTACCTTCCCCCTCCCCCCAACTCCCACCAACCTAACTAAAACCACAGGTCGCCCGCCAAATCTTCCACCGGATGAAAGCCTACATCCAATACCGGATCGCCCTGTGCCTCCACCTCGAAATCTACCTCGTGACCACAATGATTATCCTCAACGAAAGCATCCGCACCGACCTCGTCGTCTTCCTGGCTCTCTTCGCCGACGTTGCCACCGTGGCCGTCGCCTACGACAACGCCTCCTACGAACTCCGCCCGGTACAGTGGCAAATGCCCAAGATCTGGATCATCAGCATCATCCTCGGCCTGCTCCTCGCCATCGGTACCTGGATCATCCGCGCCACCCTCTTCCTCCCGGACGGCGGGATCATCCAAAACTGGGGCTCCATCCAAGAAGTCATCTTCCTGGAAGTCGCCCTCACAGAGAACTGGCTCATCTTCGTCACCCGCGGCAGCTCCACCTGGCCCTCCCTGCCCCTCGTCGCCGCCATCCTAGGCGTGGACATCCTCGCCACCATCTTCTGTCTCTTCGGCTGGTTCTCGAACCGCGACATGATCACCGATCCGTACGATCAATACATCAGCAAAGAGACGAGCAATGGCTGGACGGATATCGTCACCGTGGTGCGGTTATGGGGGTACTGTATTGGAGTGGAGATCGTGATCGCATTGGTGTATTACGTGTTGAATAAGATTGCGTGGTTGGATAATTTGGGCCGCGGACGGCAGGACAAAGGGGATAAGGCGATCGGGCGGGTATTGGGGCATTTGGCGAATTTGTCGTTGGAGTTTGAGCGCAAGGAGGGGAGGAATGGGCGGGTGTTTTTGGCCACGAGTACCGAGGAGGAGGAGGTGGAGTGAGCTGATGCCTTTGGAGGTGGAGGGGGCGGGTTAGGGTTGTGGTGGTTGTACGCTGTGTGGATGGGAGAAGTGTGGAGATGGGGTATGGCTTCGTAGTGAAGTGGTATTTCCTTTGGTAATAATATCGACGATAATATATATTCAATGGTATGGCATCCAGAATTCAGCACTTGCGTGCCTGGTCTAGATCAACAACAAAAGACCAAGAAGCGTAGCATATTAGCTATGTAAGTAACATAATATGATTGACCACTGACTGGTGCGCACTGCTTATGGTCCATCGCAGATGCCAGACTAAAGGATAAATGGCACAGGAGGACCGAAACCAAGCTGCTATCATAACCAACCAAAGAACGGATGAAAGAAGCCAGACAGAACTCACGCCTCCAGTGGAAATAGTATCAACCCCCGAGGCCCTGACTACGGCGACAGTGTCGTCGCCACCCTCACAACATCATCACGAACGCGGGAACTGCTAAATGGGTCCGTCTTGCCAAACGCTTTCCAAACCGCGAGATATCTGTCCTCATTGCGCATCGTATCAAATGCTGTTCGCATGCCCTCGGGCGTTCGGAGCTTCCCCAGAGAAGCCGAGGCCGTCGGGCGCTCCTCCCCCTCACTGAGGGCAAGACGGACCTGAGCACAATAGAGGATCAGGGCCGCCAGACCGGCAGCAAGGGCCGTCGCCACCGAGGAGCCCGTCAGCGAATGTGTCTCCCGGATCTCACCGGGTCCCCATCGCTCCGTGCTCACCCCATCTCCGGGGCAGGTGTAGTCGACATTGTTGGGGCTCCCGACCTGATCCATGATCTGTCCGGTTTGCTTGGGCCCTCCGAGCCGGATGATGGATGGACTCCAGGACATGGAGATGATATCGGCTTGGCTGTCAATGGCGTGGTTGATTGCCTGGTCGGGGTCAGCATGTTCGGTAGATCATCGGTGAGCTGTGACCTACCTTGGCGGCACTCTTGGGATTTGATGGCTCGTTTCTTGGTCGCGGCATTGGTGGCATCTTCCAGCTTGATGATGTGCAGTCTCGCTTTTGGGGCAGACGCGATAGACTTGGACCGCCATCGCGGTGCCATGTCCCCCGCTGGAATGGTAGTAGGGCCGGGAGCAGGTAGGGTTATTGGCGGCCCGACTGCTTCTGCATCATGGCGCGGATCTTGAAGCCATGGTGGACGGCGAGTGGCAGAAGGGATGGAGGGCCTGGTCATATGCCGCGGCCGGCCGCAACCCTGATATGCTGCGCCTGTTGGCCGATGCCGGGGCGGAGCTGCAGGATCCCCCGCCGGAACGGCTGTATTCGACCATTCACCCCTTTCTGGAGTACCGGAAACGGTTCAACATTGACCAGCAGAACGTCGACGAGCCCGGGACTCCCTTGCATTCGGTCTGTCAGTCGAGCCACCCTCTCGAGGCCGTGATCGAGACCATCCGGTACCTGATTGCCCACGGGGCCGACGTGAACGGGTGGTTCGGACGGTATGGCAGCGTCCTCGCGGCGGCGGCCGCCGCCAATCGGCCCCTGCACTGGGCGGCTTTCTCCGGGTGGGTGCAGGTCGTCGAGTGTATTCTGCGGGATCTCGAGGGACCAGGGGTCAATGCAACGGACCTGGATGGCTGGACGCCCTTGTGCTGGGCGGCCCGGGGGGGTCAACGGCACGGTGAACCACGAGCTGGCGGGGGAGCCTGCCGATTCGCTGCAAACCATCCGGCTTCTCCTGCAGTATGTAGCGTAGCGATATATATGGGACACCGTCCTGGAATAGCCATTGGCGGCGTGAATCACCGAGCATGCGGCATTCTTGATACCCGAGGCAGTCGTATAGTTATCTTACACAATTTAGATAGGACCCTCAGGGGGACATAGCAGCATCGTCACGCTCAAGTGCCCGAAGAAGAGCTGCATCCTATAGCTGTGCGATTGTAAAGCTTATTGCTCGGGCAGGGGAGCAAAGCGGGGTGTCTTACTTATTGACGCGAAGGATGAAGGATCGACGGACCACGGGCAACCAGTTTCACCTGAGCACACGAGTCAGCGATGCTTGTGGCAGGATGAATGCGAGTGCGAGGAAAGCTTCTTGGTTGGAGGGGGTAGGAACCTGCTGTAATCCATGATGCCCTTGATGCTCCCACCATAGTACCGGGTCAGTATCAGGCTCTTGTTTCTATCAATGATTCCCACAGAGCTAGATCACAGCTCCCTATCTAATCAAACCCCTAATCACAGCCCAGCTGGATCCTTCCCCGGCAGATTCCGGTACTATGTAGACGACCGGAGATTCCTCGGCAAATCCACCACGCTAAGCCCCCCCAATTAAAGTAACTTAGAGTGCTGCAAACCGTTTCAGTAAGGTTCCGTCGATCTTAAGCTCCCTCTATAGTATCGCCCATGCCGGACCGTGAATTTCGTATACATTTCCTACTTGGTCATGCATCCTCTGTATACTGATCCTAGATATGATCCTGAGCCATCCTGTGAAGATACCCCGAATACATGACATGACATGGCATGACATGTCAGGGGAAAGTGGTGGCGATCCTCCAGATAAGATATAAAAAGCCCATGGATGCTCATCACGACACTCATCCTCCCCCTCATCTCAGACCCAGTTTCCCTTTCTCGAAACAATTATACTTCAGACCAAAGACAAAGACAGAAGACATCACCGAAGAAGAAGAAACAACCAAAATGCTCCTCCTCCTCACCCCCCTCCTCACCTTCCTCCTGGTGGCCCTCACCGCCCACGCCTGCACCTACTGCCAATGTGAATTCGCCGATGCGAGTCATTGTTGCGTGTACTCGGTACCCCTCTCTTCCTTTTCCCCCTCCTTTTCATCAAGATACATCATTCTAATTAACGCACGTGGGTATATGTGGGGGTAGGACGCCAGTATCGGCGAACTCGACTGCACGAGTATCTGCGGCAACGCGCATCGCGCCGACGGGGTGAGTAATGCGGATGGGACGGCGGGGACGGCGTGTAATGCGGGAGGGAGGTATGAGTGTATTAGTGCGATTACGGCGTTGGGGCGGACGGCGTGTTATGTGGAGTAATCCCCTGTCTCGGAGGAGGGTTTCGGTTGGTCGGGATGGGTTGGGAGGTGTGAGTATTGGGTTTAGGGCGGTGGTGGTTGGGGGAGTATGGGGTGTGTGAGAGGGAGAGAGAGGGTGGGGAAGGGGGAGGCTTGGTGAAGATATAGTTACTAGTGAAGTGCATGGCCAGTTTGAGAGTATACGCGTCAATGTGTTCTGTGGTCTGGGTTGGGCCGTATGAAGAATGCATATCCAGGGCGAGGATATGCACCTGATGTTGAAGCGCTGGGCTAGTGTCAAGCGAGATCTCAGAGTGTGACTTCCAGCGGCACCGATCTTTAGACCTACGGTATCTGGAAGATACAGCAGTATGAAAAAAAAAAAATCAAATCGGAGCGGATTGATGGTGTTGCGTATGAGAAAATATGCAGGACTTCAAAATAGGGTCGACATCTGCAAGCAGTCAGTATGATCTCACTTGACGGAAGATTAACCTAGCTGTTGCCGACATCAAAAATAGAAAGAAAGGGAGGAATCATAAGATGGTGTAATTGCTCACTGCCCGAGTGGCACTCCACCTCATCACGGTCGGCAGCAGATAAAACCACAGGAAGTCGGAGTCGGAGCAAGGCCAGGCAGGTGGCTGCTCATGCGGACATCCCCTCATTATATACAGGTACCATCGGCAGCTAATATACAGCAAATAGCAATACAGGCCCATCACCTGCTTCATATAACCTCATAACATGATGTCAGGCGTAAAGCACTGAATTAAGCAAACAGCGGAACCATTACGTAGAAGCAAACAAGTAATTGCAGAACAAGTAATTTAATCAACGTCACCGCAGGTGAATGGACTGTGGACATCGCCGTCGGCGTAGTTGTTTTTCTGTATATCCCGGTTAGTGGGATTCCATGGGGTATGGGATGGGGTTGGGATGCATGTACTTACGATATCCTGGATACTGGAATAAAGACCACCCACCAGGACCACCAGACCGAAGATGAACACAAACAGGTTCACCAGGCTGGTCACGAGGTTCTCCCGGGAATACCACTTGCCCTTGCGGATGAGGACATACCAGAGCACAGGGGGAAGGTAGAACGAGAACCCCGAGGTGAAGAGTGCCGACGTGATCGACAGCAGATCGTCAAAGAAAGGAATGGCCTCTGCGATGACCCACGAGATGATCGTCAACACGGTAATCACAATCAACCAGGTAATCCATCCCTTCGGCGTGTTGATATAACGCGTCACGCTGTTGGCGTAGATCCGGCCGTGGATCAATCGACCCGCCACGATGGTGCAGATGGCGCCGGAGATGAAAATCACTGGGAGGGCGATGCCGAACGCGATCTTGCTGACGAGGTTGCCGGCGGACAGCAGGGCCGGTGATTGGACATCCATACCAACAAAGGCGTAGATGGTCGCGCCCGTGATGGTGTAGATCACGATCTGGAGAATCCCCAGCGACCAGATCGACTTGGTAAAGTCCTTCGGAGTGTGCATCTCATCCATGAACGAAAAGAGACAGCTGGCAAAGGTATACGCAAAGACGATGTTGCTAATGGCAATGAATCCATCCGAAAAGGTCGGATCACCCTGGGGCCAGGCCGACCAGTCCACGGCGGCCAAACCACCCGGGGAATCGGTCCCCCGAACGCCGGTAGCAATGATGGTGATACCAATGGCCGCCACGATGGACACGAAATCCAAGTAGCCCAGCCACGCCATATCGGCAAAAGAAGACGGAATCGACAGCAAGAGGAGAATAATGGCGGACACCACACTCCAGACGACGGAGCAGATGCCACTGTCGGAGATATGACGCAAGGCGATGGTACCAGTCAAGCAATTGGAGCCCGTGAGGAAAATCAGCTGCAGGATCAACATGGCCGTGAAGAGCTCGCGCCCCCAGGAGCCCATCAGCAAGGCCCCGGCATCGCCATAATCGCGGACCGCCGGGAAGGCGAGCTTGACCTGTCCAATCACGTACGAGGTGTAGATAGCAATCAAGCCGATGCCCACGCAGCAGATCACGCCGGCCACCATGCCGAGGGCTGCAAAGGCGGAAGGAATGGATAGCGCCCCCAGACCGATGGCCTCCACAATCAGCATGATGGTGAGACCCTTCCAGCCGAGGCGGTGGTACTTGGCTTCACCGGCCTCGATGATCTGCTGGTCGCCATCATCCACGGCCTCGGGCAGCTTGCCATCCACCCACGCGTTCAACTTGCCGGGGAGAGGCTTCGGACTGCCACTGCCGGGTCGATTGGCCTCTAGATTCCCAAGGGAAGACTCCATGGTGCGCTGAGCCTGAGCGGGAGCGGTTTCGAGCGTGTACGGGGGACGAAGCAAGGGAGCGCGCAGCACATGAATGATCGAATCAAAATTGGAATTGCAGTGGTGAATAATGTGGTTCGCACTTCTTGGACGTGACCTCGAATTTTCGGCGGTCATTACCGCGGGGGATTGCTGCTGCGAAAGACAATACCCCCCGCCCGAACAGCGTCCCTCGGGGTGACATTCCCATTGGTCAATTGCGCACATCATCCCATAGTGGAGGCCGTCCCACCAATGGGAGGTGGGCGGGAAACTCTGCCGTATTCCGCTTTCAGCCCCTCTCGGCGGCGTTTTTCCTTCGGGAAACGTGTAAAAATTTGCAGGCGGTGGGTTCGAGTCATCAGTGTGTCACGTAGTATCATAGTATCCTCGTAAAAATTCCACTTGGCAGGCACCTCAACAGAAAACCAATCTGAGTAAGATGTAAATATAAATTAGCTTTTGTATAGTATAAGGCGTCCAATCTGATTTCACTTTGGAAAAATAAATCGGTCGGGCATCAGCTGATTGGCGCCGGGAAGATCTGGTGGTCAATCAGATGACAGCCGGTCTTGGCACGCAAGGGATGCGATCACATGCGGGGGCTGCCATGCTGGTGGCCGATTCGGGTCAAGGCAAGATAAGAGGTACCTCCAATCAGGTCCTGCTCTTCATACTATGGTATGCTGCCAATAATCATTGTAGATCGGTTAGTCCACAGTTGTAAATATACTACCAGTCTACCATTATCCTGTGGAGTACCAGAGGTTGTTAGCAGCTGCGGAGAACAATATCAATTACGATATAGTAGGTGAAATAGAGTTGCGAGGCCCACTGCTATTATTCATGATCGTCACGCCGTGTATCATATTAACTAACTAGATGGATGGGTGCAAGTAGCTACCGCTAAGGTTGAAGTGTGTTGAATTGAGAAAATCCACATCATAGCCAAGGCATCATCCAGGTACAGCAATCTTAGGGATCTTCTTCGAGCACCAAGATTCAGAATTGTATAGGAGCTCAGATTCTGTTTGCGGTTATATGTCAGATCGAACGTCGCGCGTAAGCTGCCTCTCAGGTAGAAGCGACTTATCAACATCGTTGTTCGTGAGTCGTTATTGAAAAAGTATAAATATTGCTTTTAGTTTGCTTTCCCGACAAAGCTCCTACAAATGGACCCTCATACCACTATAAATAAGGTCATAGGTGGAGTGGCTGATCGGACGAGTCAATTCGTGGTGACCGTCATACCGCAAACACCCTAGACCCATTAGCCCAAACCCAACCAGGATGAAAGAGCAATACCTGACGTCTCCTCGCAAAGTCCTCATACAAACCGCGCCAAACATCCCGAGCGCGACAATCATCAGATCGGCCCGTCTGAGGATCCATCTCACACTTGGGCTGATTTTCCGCAATCACCGTCTTCGAAGCTCGTATCCACGGCTAACCTGTTAGCGTCGAACACTTATGATGGATTAAACATACCTTGGGAACCGGCCAATCGGAAAAATGTACAAACTTGGCCTCTTTCAAGGTCTCGGCAGGATTCCATGGGTCTATCAAACTGCCGAGGTACGCTGTATGGTTTGTCGAGCGAAATTCACCTGTCAACAGGTTATATGGACGGTGCGGGAGAATCAATGCGTTATCTCGGTATAAAGCGTTTACAATCTCCATGTCATACTCTTTCGACCCCGCTGCGGCGATACTTTGCTCGATGCGACGGAATTCGACGGCAGATGGCTGAACAAGCATGACCTGGGAGCTCATGACCCGATCGTTGGGATTGAGCCAATATGCCCGGGGAATGGCCACGGGACATGGTGGCAGGAGGAACAATTCATCCATAGTCTGGATCTTAGCAATATGTAAGTACTCAGAGGACTGTACTTACCTGCAGAATAGTCGAGTCCGAGTCGAGACTCAGAACACGGTCGTATTGCGTTTGGTTGAATGCTAGGAGCTTGGTGTAACTCTGTGCCCATGTTGCTACTGGTTTTCAGCCAACGATTCCGCAGGTTCCCGTTGATTTCTAGGCGATGACTTACAGTCGGCAGTCTTCCGACTTTGGACCTCAATCGGCATCAATTTCACACCATACTCGTCGCGGGCTTTGCGAAGTAGTTTCGCTTCGACGGAGTTACCGTTGGTGGGAAATTCCGCTGGGTACATCATAAAGCGATCGGCTCTGCTGCCTAAACGATGTAGGGTTTCGAAGAGCATGACTGAATTGCAGAGGTAGGCCGTGTTCGTGACATATTGCGTATAGGCGAAACGAGACCAATCGATATCGGCAGTCAAGCCATGGGCATGGGCAGACGGCGACACGCTTTGAAAATGATTCAGCCGGAGTTGCCAAAGAGTGACGAGGATGAAGATGCACACGAGGAGTGCAAGGGTTCGGACCACCCTAGACGTCACCAGCATCATGATCATGCATCCTAGGCTGAGGCCAGGGCCGGCGATTTAAACACCTCTAGCTGCGAACAATGGTGCTTGTCTCACAGGCCACGAATCGCGGTAGTTATATGCGGCATAGGAAGGCTGGTCTGGCGGACGATGAGAACTAGGGCTAGCAGGTTCACTTCGGCAATACTAATACTAATGCTGGTGCCGATACTGACAGAAATGGACACACATATGGTGCTAGGGAGAGCAAAATTGGTCTAGTGTAGGTCAATTAGTCACAACCAATGTATGCCAAGATCTTGTTCAGAGGAACTCTAGTAATCGAGTGACTCCACCGCAGTGCGTGTATACGGTGGACAACTATGATATGAACATGGTCAAGGTAGAGTCATTGTCCTATTTGGGAAATTCTGGATGACAATATGCTTGGAAGTGGTCAACAATTCCACTCTTAGAGCAGTATAGAATTCATGCCTTGGTGGTTGGAACGTTCTTCTCTAGCGGATGTTCTCCGGTCCAAGACTGTTCTATACATAGATCAGGGTCTCAGATTGACGGGTCAGAGAAGAATGTTTCGATAAAGAAATCTCTGCCGAACTTCCGAGGTTTCTAAACATAAAGGCTCTCGTCATCTTTTCATTTCTTTCCTATTGCACTTTTATCACGTCTTGAGCTTATTGCCTATGGAAACCACGTGTTGGTATTAGGTAGGCATGGACAGCGGTTCTTGATATCAGATCCTCCCATATCATGGGATCTCGCTCCGCGGAGATCAGATATTTCGGATCCCAGCCGTGGAATTCAACGCGGTCGATCTCCATCCACACCCGGCTCTCACGGTGCCAAGCAGCAGTCTCACTCGCTCAATCCTTGGCACCTCCCGGGTAGCGAAGGATATTTATTGTCAACAACTAGGGCATCATGTCTTTCTTGGCGTTCTATATTTGGAACTCGATACTAATGCCAACACTGACAGGACCTTCATCAACACCTACTCATATCGATACCTAGCGGCGTGTCAGGCTCCATCGCAATATTCACCTTCAATTCCTCCGTCGCCACCCCCAACAACCTCTTCTCCCCCTCCACCAACTCCCCCACCGGCAACACCCGAACCGCAAATAACCCACCCCCAAGTCCTAAGCCAGTAGCCACTTCTACACCCCCTCCATCCCCGGTACATAAACAAACGCCTCCTCCGTTACCTCCTCCCCAGTCAACGCACTCACCACCGCCTCCACAACCCGAACCCCCGCCGCCATACACGTAGTCGCACTCCCCGCCCTTTCTTACTCGCGATAATCTCATCGCCACCGAATTGTACCCTTTTCATTCCATCAGCGATCAATTCCCACATAGACGGAAGGCAAGGCAAGTGGAGACCGCACGCTGAATAACCCCCTCCAAAACCTCCCCATTAATTTTACAGGCGGTTTAGTGTGAGCTTGACGATGGTGAGGATAAAGGGTTTTGAGGGCATGGTTTGATTATTGGAGATAGTAAGTACTTCTTGCTTTCTATGTTCTCGTAAATCTCCAAGCATATGATTTCCCTAGGGAATACTTGTTGAGACACGCGGGGGAAATAATGACGAAGGTTCAGGCCTAATTCTACCCACCCACTGCTGGAGTGGAAAACATTGCTAGTCCCTATTTCGAGGATCTGGCATGCGGATAATTGAAACGGCTGAACAGTTTAGTGAAGATCTGCACTCAGTGGGATCATATTGGGCCGAACGCTTATGCTCAAGATAATAAATCCAGACATTTTCTAATACCACCCTGCAGCACCAAACCACTCACTCCGTCCGAATACTAACCGTCTTGGACAACCTCAAATCCCTCGAACTCGCCCCCACGCTAAACCCATCCTCACCCCCCTTGACAGCCCACTGCTGCGCCTGCACATCTTGGTTGTCGTTGTAGAGTTCTGTGCGATCTTCACCTTCGCCGGCCAAGGCATTGATGAATACCAGACATACGTCGGAGACTTGAGCGTAGTTAACGTACCCCGGAACCACTCCCGTCCCGGCACCCAGAGCGGATGTGTCGGTGGACGTGTACGTGTCGTTCAGGATCCAGCGGAGCATGGTTCCATCCTGGAGAGCCCGGAAGGCCAATGCAGCCAGCGGTGTCACTAGCAACGGGAACGAGGCCTGTCCGGATCCGGTTCCAGTGGCCAGATGTCCGTCGTACGTTGGCCCAGAGCCAGTGATGGGGTTGTAGGCGTAATTCGGCCCGGCCACGGCAGCACCAGCATTGGCACCAAACACGCCCATAATCCGAGGTTTCCGAAGCGGCAACGCAGAGCGAGTATTCTTCAACAGGACAATCGACTTGGCTCCATTCTCGCGGATCCGTCGGGAATGGTTCGCACGGACATCCACATAGTCAGTTTCTCCCACCGTGGCTGGCTGTTTTCCGTTATCCAGATGGAGCTGGTAGTATGGGATGATATTGCGAATGGCCATGTCGTTTAACCGCTGTAGAGACAATGACTCATTTTTCACCATGGCTGTGATGGCTGACTCGGTCCAATTATGTCGAATACCCGTAATCTAGCCCTCCGGCAGCGGAGGCCAGGCCAGCATGCTGGGCACTCACGTCTGGGTATACGAGTCCTGGAAAGCCCAACTCATCTTGATAGCTAACGTAGATGGTCTGCTATCGTACCAGGGAATCAGATGATGTAGTTGAATGAAATCCATGGCCAGGCTTCTACCTTGTAGTCGCCCGTGTGCATAGTATGATGAGGAAAATTTCGAAATCGTGAGAGAGACCAAGAAAAAGCTACTCTCTTTGGATCAGGAAGGCACGTACACCCATGTAGATGTGGACATCCCAACACCGTATGCAGTCCCCACAGCCAGGTCAAGCAGGAAAAGATTTGTGGCAGCCACTTGATGTTTAAAAATATGCAGTCTTCCATACAACATCCGATATGGTGTAGTGGCTAACATCGCCGTCTCTCACACGGCAGCCGGGGGTTCGATTCCCCCTATCGGAGCTCAATTCTTTTTCTTTTTGCGTAATGTCACCATCAGGACATCAAGCATCTCCTCTGATTCAGATTAGGTTGGTTTGCTTGGTGGTTGATGGTAGGCTCCGGTTGCGAGCATCCGCAGGAAGGTAATGGCTGCACCTTTTTGATTCGAAGAAAGTACATTGACTATATGTAGTCCACCTCCCGGGTATGTGTGTATATATTGCCGACCAATCATAGAGATGGTACTACTACTGTTTTCTCAATTTCCCCAACCTATCACAACTAACAAAGGTAGCGGAGCAAATACCTTTATCACGACTTCATCAAGAAGCATGTTCCCCAGAGTACCTATCACTCCAACGATCAAGACACATCAATCCACGCCATCACCCTAGTGTCAAACTAGGGCATGCACCATCAACTAGCCAACAACGAGTGACTCACCCATCAGCACTAACAACCCTACTCTAGACCATATAAATCCAATCAAACCACATACCATAGCCTCCCTCCCCAGATTCTCTCCACCCCCCACAATGAACCACTTCACCCACACCGCCCATCTAGAAACCCACACCCTCAGCTACGCCCTCCGCGGCCCACCGCGCCACCCTGGCACTCCCCTGGCCCTAATCCTCACCGGCATCACCAGCAGCGCGCTCGAATGGAGCGCCGTCTGCCGCCACCTCGACACCACCATCCCCATCCTCCTATACGAACGATCCGGGTACGGCCGAAGCGACCCCTCCCCGAATCCCCCCTCCTCACTCACCATCATCGACGAGCTGAACCAGCTCCTCACCGTGGCATGCCTCCCCCCACCGTACCTAGTCATCGGCCACTCGTGGGGCGGGATCCTCGCGCGGGAATTCCTCGCCGCGCGCCCGGCGGGGGATATCTGCGGGATGGTATTCGTGGATGCGGTGCAGGAGAGGATGATGTTTGAGAGGTGGCCGGATGAGAGTATCGGTGCTGTGACGGAGGGGGTGGAGTATATGGATGTGGTCCGGTTAGCGGGGGATCATGCGCTGAGTGAGGCGGAGTGGGGGGAGTTAATGGCTGAGGAAGGGAGGGAGGGGTATAAAATGCAGGCGGGGCTAGAATTGCCGTTTTTGCAGGTCAGTCGGGGGGTGCTGGGGAGGAAGGGACAGTTGGTGCCGGGGGGGAATGTGTTGGGGGGGAGGCCGGTGAGTGTGTTGAGAGGGAATTCGAAGAGGGATCATGAGTTGTTGTATGAGGCGGGGGTGGCGAGAGGGAATGGGACGGAGGAGCAGAGGAGGAGGTTTCGGGAGTATTTGGAGAGGTGGGAGGAGTGTGAGGAGGAGTTTCAGAGAGAGTTGTTGAATTTGTCGTCTGTGGGGAGGTATTCGGTTACGAGGAGGAGTGGGCATAATATTCAGATTACGGAGCCGGAGTTGGTGGCGGAGGAGGTGAGGTGGGTGCTGAGTGCAGTTCGGAATGTAGCGCTTGATTAACTTGCTGATACTATTTATGCTTTGAATGGTTTATGGGGTTTGTTAATTAATTATGCCATTGCTTAGGGTCTATAGTCATGGCCAATGCGGAAAGAATATAGACTCACCTATTATCGTAATGCTCACAGACCCTAATGATGTTAAAAATCTCACTGTGACTGCATGCAACCGATATAAAATGTTGGAAGGCATCTATTACTTGATTTGAATCGTCCAGATGCTTTGTACCAGAGGCCTTCGTTAGTGTTCGAGCTACCAGGAACAGTTCAGCCTTGGAAGTGAATTGCATGCGATATGAACTATAACCGATAGACCTTCTCGTGCTCAAAGGGGCGCAGAGCACATCAACATTATACTATATGCAAACACCGTAAACATACCAACCCAAATATAAACCCAAACTCCACCATCCACCCAAAACCCTACACACGCCTAAGTTCCCCCCTAATGATGCCCCGCCCCCGCCCTCGCCAGCACAATCCCCAGAATCGTCAAACAAATAAACAAAACAATAAACACCAGCGCCACCATCCGACAGCAATGCATCTGGGCATGTTTCCGCTCCCTCCGGGTGACAGCCCGCTCACATACCTCGCAGTGTTCGTGCGCGGTGGTCACGATGGAGGTCGTGGGGTGGGCGGTGAGTGGAGTACAGCTGTGTTGGCGGATAGGCCCGGTTTCGAGATCGGCTTGGGGGAGATCGGCGTACTATATACTCAGTGGCGGGGTGTTAGTTATGGGTATTGACGGGGGGACGGAGACGGACGTGGTGGGGATGGGAGTT